ACTAGCCAAACATAATCATAACTTAAAAATCCAATATTCAAAAGCATAAAATTAAAGAGATAGTGGTATGTAGGGTGAAGATATCAAATTATGGTATTCTTGTGTGACTGCTATTACTCACCATTTTAATATTTTACTCTGTGGTTATCCTCCGTAATAGGTACTCCAATACCAAAGCATACTTGTTTTTTTATCAGTTATTGTGATTTCCATTATCTAATCTTGAGTTGTATACAGCGAGAAAATTAGCGTGTTGGAATTGGTTTCCATTACTTGTTATTCAATTCCTTAAATTTTGTTTTGCTAAATAGAAAATGTTGATTTTTCGTTAGATCGTTCTGATTCCTTACATCAGCATTGCATCATGTAAGGACTGTATTAAACTCTGATCTGTTCTGATTCTTAAATCATTTCTAAATTACTGTAGACCAAAGTTTTTACTCAGCGAATGAAAGAACCATTAATCGTTATACCTTTTTGAATTGAATGAAAAATTATTTTTGAATGAAACATGATTTTTTTTTTTTTGATAACAATGAAAACATGATTTTTGAATAATGGTACATATGATATGCTGATAAAAAAATTAATTAAAAATATTTTGTTTAAAATTATAATTGTTAGAATTGTATAAATAAATTTAAAAAATTAAAAAATTAATTTTTTATATATTATATGACATTATGTTAAAAAGGTATTTTAGTCTATTTGTATCATATCCTGATGATATCTGGTTCGCCTCAAACACATGATATGATAACATAATTTTATTAGATTATTAATCAGATATTCATCAAACACAATATATAATAAAAATTTATCAGCCCCATATCATAGCGTACCCTTATCGAATTCTCTTATCCTATCCCTCTTATTCACTTCCATAAAATTTTCGTCGGCTAAGAAATGGTGGCGCACAAAGTTACGTCTGTTAAGCTAGGGTCCACTTGCTACTATGGTTAACCGGTCAGATCTAGACTTTTTTGTCTAGTTTTTTCTTTTTTTTTGGGTAGGTAATTTTTTTTGTCTAGTTTAATTTGGGCAATTGAATGCAATAAATATGGGAATTTATTCTAAAATATTATATTTTCGTAATTTTTTATTTAAATAATAATATTTTAATTTCCCCATAATCTTATATTTTACAATCTCGTGAGACATCAAAATGTAGAAGAAAGCAGTTTTCACTGTACAGGGCATTCCTCTACTCAGAGTGGTCAAAATTGCAATTAGCAACTTTAATAGACTTTGGTACGTAGATTATTTTAGAAATTTTGGAAAAGTGGGGTGAAAAAAAATATTTTTTAATATTTGATACGAGAAAATTGAAAATATTCTCAGATTTTTTTTTTACCTTCGTTTCAGTTTTAACTGTAAAAACTCAAATGAAAATATCATACGATATATGGTATTTTTATTTTCCTATCGAATCAGTATAATTAATCAATATTTTCAGAAAAAATTTAAATTTACCAAACACCTTTTCATAACTTACTCGGAAAAAAAAAATTCCCATCATATACTTGAAAATTTTTTTTTTTTATAAAAAAAAATATTTCCTATACCAAACACCTTCTAAAATATTGTTCTTACACGTTAAAGAAGAGAAGTAATAAAAAAGTAAACCAAGATCCAGTACTACTAATCTTAATAAAAATTTAATTACTGAATTAAAGTAAAAGCTTTTCTCGTTCAGATTAAGTTAGGTAAAAAACAAAAAGTCAGAATAAATTATTAATCTTTATTAGATTTTATGATAAAATTATAAATTATCAAAAAATTTCCGAATTCAAATTTCTTTTTTTTGGAAATCCCGAATTCAAATTCTAAGTCTTACTATTATCACCGCATTAGATGAAGTGGGCCGATTTCTCTTCCTTTCATATATTGATATTGATTGAAATGCGACTCCTATTTCTCTGCAGTCTCTTGTCTTTTCTTTCGTATGTACTAAAAAAAACAAGGGGTTTATATCCCTGAACCATTTATTTTTTTCTGTTATAAAAGAATAAGACTAATTTATTGAATAAAGTATTCTCTTATTTTCTTTAATAGATAATTATTCTTTTATTAGAAAAGAAAATTTCTTTTTTTTAAAACAAATAACTATGTATTATAAGTAGTATATAATTATAATATTAATTTTTTTTTTCTTTTGATATTGTTGACTGATGTGACATAGAGAAAAAAATAATTTTATCATTATAATTATATATTACCCTTAATATATGATTATTTTTTTCTGCAAGAAATAATTTTTTTTGTAACATGAGAAACTGAAACACTTCTTTAATATTATATAACTTATTTTCTTTAACAGGAAAAAAAAAATTGTAATATGAGAAATATAATTCCAAAAATCAAAAATACCAAATAGTTATTCATTTACTGGTCATTCCAAAATTATGTTTATATATAAGCCCAAAATTTTGTCTGTTGTACAATAGTTGTCTTCAACATAAAATTAACTATAATTATTAAAGTAGTTGTTTTAATATTATCAGATAAAAATAAATACTGACCAAATAGCTAATATTAGAACTAGTATTTTAATATCTAAATTAAAAAAAAAAACTCTTATCTATCATTTCCCTGTCAGTTTTCCTCACTATTTTTGTCCCCTACTCCTCCAAACAAAATATTGACAGTAAGTAGGAACGTTATTTTACTCCAAGTTGGTTTTTTTTTTAATGGTTTACATGAACTACGGAGAGGGTAATGACAAACACAACAAGCGACACGAACCCAATAGTCCAACTCCAAATAGACCAACGGATTCCTTCTCCACGCGAACTCATTCAATTCCACATTCTGTTTTTGTCATGTATTTATTGGTGCATCATGGGTTTAGTTGTTCTTTGAAGATTCTACCATCCGAACATGTTTTATTTTATTTATTTCATTGAAAATATTTCCAGTGAATGTAATATATTTTAAAAGAGTACAAAATTAACTCATATGATATTAATCATAAAGGAAGGATTTTTTTAACTTAAATGAGTGATATGTTGAGTATATAGTATTATGGAATATTAAAAATATTTTTTAAAAAAATAAAAAAATTAATAAGCACATTTATTAATTAAGAAAGTAATTTTTTTAATAATACCTTTAAAATTAGAAAGATATTTTTAAAATAATAAAAAAATTAAATCAATCATATTAAATGCTTATTAATCATTAAAAAAATATTATCTTTTCATCTCTTCTACTATACTAAATCATTTCGCAATCCATGTTCATATGAATAAAAAGGAAATAATTCGCACAGACAAAGTTTTATCCCATTTTTACATTATTCAATAATAAATTATTTAATAATTTCTAAAAACAAATTAACAAAGTAGTAATCTATTCCAGCTGAGGGGCATAAGTATCGTATTTTTGGACTCGCACTCAAATTCTGGATTAGTTTCATAGGCGACTTAGAGAATCGAATCCGTGAAAATACCGGGGAGTTCTGATTCGCCTCAAAAAAATAATTAAGATCAGTTTCAAAAAGAAAGAAAGAAAAGGAAGCAATAATGTATTAAGTAATTGATATCCTTTGTTTACTAATAGCGTACAAAATTTAATGGAAAATGATATTAGGATAGAAAAATCAACGCGGCGATGGTAAGGGTATATATCTAACTGTGATTAGATAGGTAGTAAGTTGGCAGTGAAAAATTTTGGTAGTGAAAATATCTCTCCTCGATAAGAATGAGGATATTCTAACTACCAAAAATTCTTACAACTAACTCACTACCTATCACATCACCATTGGATTAAAGAGAGAATGTTAAAAAGTTTCTGAAGAGAGAGAAAATATTAATCTAATGGTAATTAGATAGGTAATAAATTGGTAGTGAAAAATTTTGGTAGTGAAAATATCTCTCCTCACATGATAATGCCTCCATTTTTTTTTCCTTTCTAAGGCCCAGGAATGAACAGAAATAATGTTAAATAAAATCGGTCTATTTTTTCTATTTTAGAAAATGATTCAATTGTTTGGAAATATTTCGATTTCTGATTTTAAAAAATAGTTTTTTTTTATTTTCATAATAAAAAAAATAAAAAAACATCTTTGATAAAGGCTATTTTATAAAAATAATTCTACAAATCATAATTGTTTTTTAATTTTTAGAATCAAATTTAGAGAATATGTTTTAGTTGTTTTTATTTTATGTTTTAAGTTTTAACTTTTAGCTTTCAAAATTAAAATAACACAGAAAGCACTTTTTCCATGACTGTTCTAAAAAATAATTTAAAATAAAATAAAATTAAAACACAATTGAATAGGCCCATAAATTGACATAATTTTTTTTTTTATACAAGCATACAATTAAGAATTGAACAGATAAACTAATATAATCTACCTAAATCCCTCACCACTTACCAATTCTAATGGCTTAATAATTTAATTTTCTTTTCTTCCCTAACGCTTTATTTATTAAATACAGATATTGGAGAATATATTATCAGTATTAAATACATATTAATTCAAAAAAATAAATTGTTATGAAAAACATTTTTTTAACATTCTTCTAAGTATAAAAATAAAAAGTTATTGATTTTCATAAACAATACCAAAAATAAAATAAAAGAAAAATATTTGTCCTTTTAAATGACACAACTTGTGTTATTTCACTCTCACAAAAAAGTAGAACCCACATCTTTATATTTTTTTTCACTCTCTTTTTCATAATTTATCTCTATTTTTTACTTAAAATAATATAATTTTATATCCTTTAAAATAACTCACGTTAATTATTACGTGCACACGAGAAAGACTAGTGAGTCAATACAATGGTGGTTGCATTAATTGCTCTTAGTACCTATCACCTACCAAAAGAAGTTCATACAATGCATTTGCACCAAAGAATTTGTAACTGGTAACTATTCACTTAATTTTATAAACTACATCAAATCCATTTTCATTGCAGAATAACGAATATCATGTAATTTCTTACGTTAATCCAACTATTTTCCAACTCTATATAAGGACGCGACTGACACATAGCACAACCAGACACATAGCACGAACGCACCGAATATGAGTTCTGTGAATCTTGGTCCATGGGCTCGTCCCACTAGCATGTTGAACCAAGCAAGCAGATCCATGCCCCCAACTCTCAATTCCCATCTTTGTGGTTTCAGAATGGTTTCCATTTCCTCAATTACCCCTAAAGGAGGAGGAAGAAAAACATTTTCTTCTTTCTCCATCTCTTCAGTGCTCACTAAGGAAAACACTGTCAGAGGCAATGAAGTTGAAGAGAAACCCAACTTCAATTTCAATGCCTACATGCTTGACAAGGCCAACACAGTGAACCAAGCCTTGGACGCAGCTATTGCGATGAAGGAACCGGAGAAGATCCACGAAGCCATGCGATACTCCCTCCTCGCCGGCGGCAAGAGGGTCCGGCCGGTGCTCTGCATCGCCGCATGCGAGCTCGTCGGCGGGCGAGAAGAAACGGCCATCCCAGCATCATGCGCCGTCGAGATGATTCACACCATGTCACTCATTCACGACGATTTGCCTTGTATGGACAACGACGATCTCCGGCGAGGAAAACCAACCAATCACAAGGTTTTCGGCGAGGACGTCGCGGTCCTCGCCGGCGATGCCCTGCTTTCGTTTGCGTTCGAGCACATAGCCGTGTCAACAAAGGGTGTCTCGCCGGCGAGGGTGGTTCGCGCGATTGGTGAGCTGGCGAAGTCGATTGGTGCGGAAGGACTCGTTGCAGGGCAAGTTGTGGATATACATTCAGAAGGGTTGTGTAATGTGGGTTTGGAGAGACTCGAATTCATTCATCTTCACAAAACGGCAGCGTTGCTTGAAGCTGCGGTTGTGTTGGGAGCCATAATGGGTGGTGGGTCTGATGATGAAATTGAAAAGTTAAGGAAGTTCGCTAGGTACATTGGTTTGCTGTTTCAGGTTGTGGATGATATTCTTGATGTTACAAAGTCATCCGAGGAATTGGGTAAGACAGCTGGGAAGGACTTGGTGGCTGATAAGGTCACGTACCCTAAACTTTTGGGGATACAAAAATCTAAGGAGTTTGCTGATAAATTGAATAAGGATGCACAGGACCAGCTCGCTGGGTTCGATCCGGTTAAGGCGGCTCCGTTATTTGCTTTAACCAATTACATTGCTTATAGGCAAAATTAGACTCTTGTTTGTTTAGGAAAATTGGGTTTCTGAAAATAACGGATACACTTAAACTCTTGAATCTTGTACTGTGGATTAATTTATCAAATAAAATGATTAGCAAAGAGTATATTTTGGAGTTTGCAAGGCGTATTCTCGTGTGAATTTTGTAATAGAATATACTCTTTGTTTAACATTACATGTACTCTGTTTTGGAAGGCGCATACTCTTGTCATATTGTCCTATCAACTGATCCTATATTTTGTATGTTTTTTTTTTTTTTTCCTATTTGTTCTTCAACTTACCTAACGAACTATTCAGGTGCGCTGTAGTGGATCATCTACGTGATTCTCTATGGTAGTTAAGGCCTAAGGGTTTTCAGCATATTCAATTGAAAAAGTTATCATACATTGAGTTGGAGCAAACAATTTTGTATTTTCTTTTTGGTAAGACCTTAAGCTGACCCACCAAAAGGCTGTAGGACTAATTGCCACTCAAGCTTAGACTTGGACCTTGGTACTCCTGCAATATTGCAGGTAAAACCATGGAACACAATTTGTCAATTAAATTAAACTCATGGTTACATTTTAATATCAAATTTGAGTCTAAAAATTATCTGCTGTGAATTGAGATGGATACGGTTATGTAAGGATAATCAAACAACTTTATGCAAGCATAAAAAAAAAGAGTATATTTAATTCTATCTAGGCATATTCGTACCCCGGTTATAGTTTTCTCCGCAGAAGCTAGCAAAAATTGGCCTTATTATTGGAGACTGATGAAGCAATCAGTTGAATCCAAACTGGTTAGTATTTTCGTTGAAGATTCCTTCACTATTATTTTATCAGAGATTTGGCAGTATCATAACACAAAAGAAACCCTTTAATCCTAACACCTTAATTTTCTTAGCTTCTTTCAAGCAGAGTTATCGCCTGCTGTTGGTTAACCTGAAGAAAAGTTTGTTCTTCTTTCTTAAATAATGTTTTATTATACATGTGAACATGATATTCTAGTGTTCAGATATTCAAATGTGATGAAGTTTGATATTGATTAATAACTGATTAAGTGAAGACTATATAAGTAGATAAACCAACAAAATTAATGTTTTAAGATTTTGAGTTAAAGACATGATATTGACCGCCATGGTTTCCCGTGGCCAACCTGACTTTAATATCAAAATTATTGGGTTTGATCTCAGGCGCGCAGCTGATGCTGAAACGTTGAGTTAAGAACGGCCGTTTCAGTTTGGTCTCATTGTTGGGCAAAAGGCTGATATCTTTTAATAAAGAATCCGATACTATCTCAGCTTTGAAGGAAGATTATTTAGAACATCGTCCTGCACACCTGCTCTCACGCTGAGACCAAACTGAAACAATAGATTAGCAAGTTAGTCGAAATTGGTGTTCTACCTAGGATCAGAACGCACGCGGGAAAGACACTTAAATTATATTTAAACACATCTATGCATATGTAATAACATAAAAAAAATACTTTGAAATCACAAATAACATTTAACTAAACTTAATACTTAAGAAGGCCACACAATTCATGATTCAGGTGGACTCTTGAATTTTATTTATTTCAAAAAGGAGCATTTTGGTCAGTTCAGTGGTCTGATCTCACTGATCTATGCCTAAAACACGACGATCTCACCAAATTGTGTTTTTGGACGTGATTGAATTATTAGCGATGGCAAAAATGCAGAATCGTTCGATGTCACCAATATGATCGCATTTAAGTACCTCGCGAATAAGTACTCCAACTTAAACGCATGGACCAATTCTCAGTTAATAAATATTGTACAAAACGTATGTACCAAAAATATATATATATATATATATATATATATATATATATATATATATATATATATATATATATATATATATATTTTGTACAAAACGCTTCAACTGGTAAGATGAGTCTAAGTTGCATCGATACCGATACAGGATACGATACGACACTCCGATACGTTAATACTAAAAAATATTAAATTTCGACACATTTTAATATTATATAATATTTTTAATTTATGTAGTGTATATTATATTTAATATTCAATAATTTAACAAAAAAATAATGCTAAAGTTATAATACCCATCAATTTTGCAAAGAAACATTAGATATCTCAAATGTTTGTATTAAACTTAATAAAATAGTAATCGTAATCCAATGGATCTAATAGTTGGAACTCAAAATGCAACACAAGTTAACCTTTGAACGTTTTTTGAGTCTTTGAAATGAGTATTATAATGTCGAAAAGTGTTAAAGTGCTGGTGAGTATCAGACACGACGTGTCAGAAATTTTGAAGTCTCGATGTTTCGCAAATAAGAGCAGCAATGATTGAAAGTTGGTTGGGGTCCACAAGTTTTGACATGTAAGGGGGACGATATGGTTTGACATGGCGCGGTTTTTTTTTCTTTTACAAGGATAACCGGTATCTTTTATGAAGTGTTTTGGTAGCTGAGTTGAGCCAAGGTCTTGTGCCCTCACCTAATAGCTTTTTTTGCTGCATCAGATTAACCATATATTTGTTCAAAAAAAAAATATATTTTGAAATTTGATGAAAAATATTTAGAAAATATAAATAAAATGGCAAGAAAACTTTATTTTTTTGGAATATTTTAAGGGATTTGCATTTCTCATTTCACATGACACAAGAAAGTTTCCTACACACACAATATTTTGTGGGTCCACACTTTTTGAAACAAAAAAAAATTACGGCACGCAAAACGAATCTCTATAACATTACACAGTCACTTTTTCTATAACATAACCCTTATAAAACTCATATTTTAATAGGTACAATGTACAGAAGAAATTTTTCTCCCGGAGATAGGAGAGAATTTATTGTGGTCCGGGATCACTATTTTTTAGGTGGTTTCTAAGTGTAAATGGAAGGGTAAAATTGGAAAAGAAGAAAAATAGCAGGGATAAAATAGAAAAGAAAAGATTAGTGTTATGAGAGAGAACATCAAATCATTAGATCGTCCGGGATCATATTAAATATTTTCCGTAGATAGATGCAGGGAACTTAATCACGTCTTGGGTTTCCCACTTTACACGAAGTTGTATTTGACCATGCTTTTCATACGTGGCAGTAGGAAGAGTGTCGCTTCTCAGATAGATCAGTCGCGTTGACGTAGGAAACGATCCACTTGTGATATCGTGTAAAAAACGTGACATGCAATTTTATTTTATTTTTTGACAACTTAGGAAACTATATGCAGAAAACAAAAACCTAAGAAACACAAAGCCTAGGAGTCGAAACTCCTATAACATCGTTATGCAGAGCAATTTAAAGTATTCGATCGTCAGGTGGAAGATGAGACTCCTTCGTGTTCTTGTCATGAGCATGGACTTGTTTAGCCAGCCAGTCCACAATCTATGTATGGGAAATGTGGACCTGACAAGTGTTAAGGACGCATGAGAATGGTCTGAGTGCGATTCACCAATGGAAACAGAGGGTGGTGATTATGGGAACCTTTTAGGATGAGCTTTGCAGCAATTAATTCACCTTCCAGCCATACTTTCTTAAACTCAATATCCAAGCCAGCTCCATACCAATTAAGCATGTCAAGTGGCTCCATGGGAAAGCTCCGGCAGAGATATTATTAATAGGCTAAATTATATAAATTATAGCAAATAGACCTGACAGGCTGACACCATATTTCATTTCAAAAACTTGACATTGAATTTATGAGTGCTCCTATTTATATATATACATTTTACTTAGCCATTACTAATTAATGTGAGATTTCTCACACTTAATATTTTAACAATCTCTCCTTCAAGTGTGAAACACACTATTGATATACTCTTCCACAATCGAGTACCTGGACCTAAAGTGCTTAACCCGCCTCCTAGACAATCACTAAGTTAGTTCGAGCCCAACCCGGCTCTAATACCACTCTTAGGCGGGTTTAGAGGAAGCCCGTGGCGGGGGCTCCACCACCAATGGACTAAGCTAGAACAACCAAATCAAGTGAGTCTGACACTATGTCTCAACTTAAAACTTTAAGGCATTGGGTTCACGAGTCCTTCCAATTATATATACTTCACTGGACCTATTATCAACTAATGAGTGACTCATCACACTTGAATATTCTAACAATTTCTCCTTCAAGTGTGAAACTCACCATTGGTATCCTCTCCCTCAACTGAGTACCTCAGACTATGTAGCACCGATACTGACACGAGACACGTGACACGATACGACACGACACTCCGAGACGTTAATTCTAAAAAATGTTAGATTTCGACACGTTAGGACACGTTTTGATATTAAATAATATTTTTAATTTATGTAGTATGTATTATATTTAATATTCAATAATTTAACAAAAAAATGAATCTAAACTTATAATATTCATAAATTTTGCAAAGAAACATAAGATATCCCAAATATTTATATTAAACTCAATAAAATGGTAATCATAATCCAACGAATCTAATAGTTGGAACTCAAAACTCAACGCAACATAACCTTTGAACTTTTTTTTGAATTTCTATAACGCATGTTGGAGTGTCGGAGTGTCCGAGAGTGTCGGGAAGTGTCGGACACGACACGTCAAGATTTTTGAAGTGTCAGTGCATCATAGATCTCAGACCCGAGTACTCAACTAGATTTTGATACCACTACTAGGCGGGTCCTACAGGAGCTCGTGGCAAGGAACCACCTTCAATGGGCTAAGCTATACCAATTGTAGCAAGTGGGTCCGACGCCACATCTCAACCCAAAATCTTAAGCCATTGGCTTCATGGGTACTCGCACTTATATACACTTGACCTAACCCATTACCAACCAATATGAGACTCACCACACTTGAATATCTCAACAATCACCCTTCTCTGAGTATCCCAGAGCCAAGTACTCAACTCACCTCTAGCCAATCACCCGGTTAGCCTGGAGCCCAACCTAGTTCTGATACCACTGTCAGGCGGGTCTAGGAGGAGCCCCATGGCGGGGACCACCATCAATGGGCTAAGGCTACACCACCATATCAAGTGGGTCCGACACCATGTTACAATCCAAAATCTTTAGGCATTGGGTTCATGGGTATTCCTACTTATTACACTTGACTTAGTCCATTACCAACTAATATAAGACTCGCTACACTTAATATTCCAACAGTCTTTTCCTCAAATATGAAACTCACCATTGATATGTCCCCCTCAACTGAGTATCCGGATCCAAAGTACTTAACCTGTCTTTTAACCAAATATTTGGTTAGTCTAAGCCCAATCCCGACTCTAACACCACTATCAGACAAGTCCAGAGAAATAGCTCGTGGCGAAAAATTATCACCGATAAACTAAACTAGACCGGTCATACCAAATAATAATTCCGATGCTATGTCACAATGGCGAAGGACTAAAGCAATCCAAAGCTGAAGAGACATAATCAATAACTATTGGTTTATATGGTAAATAACATGTTTCCCTTGATAAGAGATTTCGAATTCGAACTTTTGAGAACTCAAAAAACAATCTTGAAAGAATCACTTTCTATAATAATTTTATAATAATTACGACGATGCTCAAAACCGAAATAACAAAATAATTTATAATAATTTTATAATAATTACGACGATGCTCAAACCGAAATAACAGAATAATGATATGATGGATATATAAAAAAAAAAAAACTTCAGAACACATAGAAGTGCCATGGCATAAATTCGTAGAAAAATCCAAAATTCCCTTTCTAGAATCATCCCTCAAAACTCCCCCACTCTCACTTTGTTTACCTTCTAGACCACATAAGCCATCAACGTCCACCTTCACCCATGGCATCTGGGTCTTTTGTGCCTTAATTTTTATGCTAAAAAAAATGTTATTTTTAGTGATAGTTTAGTTGATGTATGAGAGCTGAGTAGATGAAAATAAGAGTATGTGTTCGATTCTCTCCAGTACAATATTTGAAAGGATTTTCAAAACTTAATCTTGGATTTGTCCCGAATCAAACTATATGCGAAATAATGAACCAATTGCAATATTAAAAAAAAAACTTTATTCTTTATACAATCATTTATAAATATTGTAAATTTTTTAGTAAGACCAAATTTAGTAAACTCGCTAAGAAAGGGAAGAAAATACCGTAACAAAAATCTAAAACATATTGGGTGGATTCCGGTAGAATCAATGAGAGGTCATGGGTACACCACGGGTGTGTGTAAATTAGTGGGTGTGGATATAAGAAAAGTTGAAGATGAAACGGCCCACAAAAATGGACTTTTATCACGGTATAGGGGAAATTGACTTGGAAGACTTTTATCATAAACTCCATAGACCCTGGCACATTAGCACTTGCGATTGGCCGTGCTAAATGAATCAGGGATTTTTCAATGATCTTTGGTTCGACTCGTGAATGCCTGAGTTTATTTGTTTAAAATTAATTATTAGAATCAGACTTGAACTTATATAAAAGCTCGTTTAATAAAAAGGCCTCATACTCCAATTGAAAAGCTCGACCTTAGAGTTTCTCAGACTGACCTAGTATATTAATTTTTAATTTTATTTTATATTTTTTATACCGCTTGTAATAGTCCTCTCTCTCTCTTCTCAATTCATTTCGCCCCATTTTATTAGTTAAATAGACTTTTTGAATGATTTGTTCTATATTATACTATTTGGATATACATTGAATTTATGAATATTTATGTAATTATATTCTGTTTGAATAAATTTTTGTTATTTTATTTTTTTAAACAGACTAACAGACCAAATCAGGCTTTTATTTTTTGTAAATGAGTCAGGCCACAGACCCATAATTATATTCATAACAGGTAACAGGCTTGTTCAGGCTGACACATTTAAACATAGACCTAACCTCTTAAGATCAAAACTCGGCTCGGCCCGTTTACACCCCTGATGAATGTCACAAGGAGGACGCACTATGTAATAGTCCATACATTACACTTTCTTCAAGAACAAATTCATAAGTTTTGATTTCAAATAATAAAAAATAAATATATTTATAAAATTTACGAGTTAAAAAAATCCTAAAATATGTGCTCACAATTTATTTCATATAAAACTTTTTTCTTCTTTAATAATCAATACCTATTATTGATAAATCATTAACAAATAAAATTTAAAAAATATATAATTCAATTATAAATTAATATAAGCAACATTCCAACAAACATAATATAATTATTAATTATTACAAATAATACTTCAATAAACATAATGCGGTTATAAATTATTAACAAAAAATTCCAAAATAATCCTACGTAGGAATGTTTTCTTTGATAATTATTTGATAAATAGTATTTTACTATTATGTTACTAATTTTACTATTTTTATGGTAAAATTTTCCCTAAGGAAAACATTAGTCATTGCTTTCAAATCTAGAGAAAATCAAAGAGTGAGAGTGAGATTTGGAGAAAATTCTATTTGAGGAGAGGGAGGAGAAAATTTGGAGAAAACTCTACATTAGAAGAGATAGTGGAATTAAAAAACAAAAAGAGTAATTAAACTTTTCAACAAGAAAAAATAAAAGTGAATAATAAAGTAAGGGTTAAAAGTTTCTTTTTTTGAAAACCAGGGTTAAAAGTTTCTTATGTTACATAAAAATGTCAAATCATTCATGCACAAACATAATAACATGGGTCACATGAAAGTTTAAAAAAGTAAAAAGAAGAAGAAGTTGAAAACGACGTTTTTTCTATCTGCAGGAACGGATTGAATTCTTATGTTACATAAGAATTTCAATCCCCATTAAGTAATGATCCCTTATTTTTTTAAAAAAATAATACAAATTTCATGGCAAAGTTATTTTTGTTATTTTATTTTTTCTCTTTTTTCTCTAATGGGTCCCAACGGGATATTATGTTTCTATTTTTTTATGATATTTATTTATATTTTAGTAATTTATATATTTCTAATTTATATTGTCTCACATTGTAATCATATACAAACTTATATACATATATATATAATTACTATTTTTTTAATTTAACAATTTATGTTTCAGTAAAAAAATTATATTGACATTTATTTTTATTTTAATTACTAAAAATCAATATAATAAATGAAGATATATTGAAATATTAATACTACTATAACAATTATTCTAAAAATTTAAAAGAAAAAAAAAAGGGTGAACAGTCCCAACACGCTACGTAAAAATAACCAAGGCGCGCTCACAAGTCATAAGTCATAACTCAACCCTGAGTAAGGAGATTATTTATCGTGAATCGGAACACCATTTTTTAGTTAGTCAGTGTAAATAGGAGGGTAAAATTGGAAAAGAATAAAATAATAAGAGTAAAAAGAGAAAAAAAAAAGTTAATGATGTGAGAGAGAGCATCAAAAGATTCGGCTTCTTGAGTAAGAGAGTAAAGATAAGTAGCTGTTTGTACCTTAAAAACAGAAAAAGATGAAGTAGCTGAGCGTCAACTGTCATCGGTGTTCCCGAATCACTTGTCATTTGCTAGTTCCTTGTCTGGTTTGACTTCATTCGTGGTTCGGGAAATCGCAAGCCCTCACAGTTCTCACATCTTTTCTTCCTCTAATAAACGCTGTAAGCCATTGCCAAGTATCTTTGTTTTCCTCTAATTGGGAACAGATCTCCATCTTAGATTCTATTAACCTCTGCTTTAATTTGCAGTTGTTTACTATTTGGGAAGGAATTCAAGTGAGAGACACCAACATAATTCTGAAATTTCGGCTGAAACCCAGGTAATCAAAACTTCTATGCTGGCCATCCACACACACATACACACCTAAAAATTGCAAATTTGATTTGGGTTTTTTTGTAATTTACATTCATATGTAACTATTGTGTCTTCTCAAGTGAAGGATTTCCTTTTGGGTGATGGGAATCTAGTGACCTTTTGCATTTAGCTTTCTTCTAATTTAGAAGTTGGGTTTTAATCTTTCTGTGCTTTTCATCTTTGTGTTAGGGTTAAAATTGGAAATGATGGGAGGTCAGTCCAGCAAGATGAATAGTAATGATGTCCCATCCCCTATCAAAATGGGTACCCATTCTCTGTATGCGGCTGATTTAAGCTCTTATGAAGCAGCATGTGTTGAAGATCCAAACTTGCAATCCTTTGATGCTGCCATTCAGGAGCGCACCAACAGGGTGATAAATTCCCTTGCTAGTGGGATTGAGGTTCGTTCCATATCTATTGAGTCACTGAGAGAAGTGACTGGCAGTTTGCTTGAAATGAACCAGGAAGTTGTCAAGGTCATTCTAGAGTGCAAGCAAGATATATCCAACAAGAAGGACCGTGAGTTATTCTCCTTGGTGGAGGATTTTTTTGAGAATAGTCTCCAGACATTGGACTTCTGTAATGCTCTTGAGAAATGCTTGAAACGAGCACGTGAAAAACAGGTTATAGTTAAGTCTGCAATTACCTATTTTGAGGAAGAGGTGCAAAATGGGGTTGATGGATCGACTTATTTGAAGACATTGCAAGAGCTTAAGAATTTCAAGGAAGCTGGGGACCCCTTTACGGAAGAGTTTTATTTGTTGTTTCAATCAGTTTATGCACAACAAACTTCAATGCTGAAGAAATTGCAAATCAGAAAGCAAAAGCTTGATAAGAAATTGAAATCCCTCAAGACATTGAAGAGGGTGTCAAATGTCATTTTCTTGGCTGCTTTTGTCTCTGTGTTGATTTTCTCTGTGGTTGCAGCTGCAATTGCTGCACCACCTGTTGTAACAGCTTTGGCTGGTGCATTGGCTGTTCCAATAGGCTCGGTGGGAAAATGGTGTAACTCTCTTTTTATGGGATATGAGACAGCTCTAAAGGGCCAAAGAGAAGTAATCAGTTCAATGCAGGTTGGTACTTACATTACATTGGCCGACTTGCAAAACATTCGGGTGCGTATCAACAAATTGGAAATAGAGATTGAATCCATGTTGCAGAATGCTGATTTTGCTCATAGAAATGAGGATGCTGTTAGGCTTGCAATCGATGAGATTAAGAAGAAAATAGAAACTTTTTCGGATATCATTGAGAATTTGAGTGAGCAGGCTGATAAGTGTAGTCGACAGATAAGGAGAGCAAGGACAGTGGTTATACAAAAGATTATTAAATACACTGGTTGATAGCCCTTTCGCATGTTCTATGGATCGCTTTCTCTAGCTGGCATCTTCGTTTGCTCCTACTATAAGTTGCTGATCAAACACCCAGCTTATAACTGCACTGCAATAAGATGCTTTATGATTTATTAACTTGTGTATAACATTTCTTAACTTCCTATATTCACACCTTTGGATTATTCATAATTACATGCAATTTCCATGCTTGATTGTTGTTGTTGTTGTGTGTGTTTTTCATTAAACTCTTTTGCTAGATGCAATTGATAATCTATGTGTGATAATCATGGAATCCTAAGAAGAGCAATCAAAGGTGGAACAAAGTCTTGGACAAATGATAGTGAAAAATATATGGGTTTTATAAGAGTTATGTTGTACGAAAAAATGATTGTGCTATATTATAGAGATTCGTTTTGCGTGCCGTAGTTTTTTTTTTTATTTTTCTTCGAAACATACGGGTCCCACAAAATGTTGTGTGTGGAGGAAAAATTTTGTGGTCATGTTAAATGATGAATGCAAACTCCAAAATACATAGGCTGTTATGCACCCTAACTTTTTAAGGTGGGACCGGTTTTGGTTAACGCAAGCGGATTCTTTCTTTGTTGGTTTCTTGTATGTTAGGCAAACTTTTCATGCATGCATTGATAGGATCTTATGTTTGAGGCATCCTCTGGTGACAATGGTTGCACCTTATAGGAACCTTATACTGCTGTCTAACCATAAGCAGATTTGAAGTTGGAATTTTTAGTCTAGCAGATTTGAAAACACGCCCTGGTAGGCAACTTATATTCAACTTATATTCATTATAGAGTGTGTGTTTTTCTGGAATAAATCTTACACGCTATATATCTACAATTAAACATTGATCCCCCAGATGCCGCTTTCCATTAAAAAAGTAAACAGAACACTATGCCAAAATATCTTGTATATGCATGGATATTTTGTTATTTACAAACTCCCTAGTCCCTATGTGATACACGCATAATTCCATTTTTGGATGAAAATAAATTTTTTTAATCAAAATCAAAGTGCAACTGACAGAGAAGGTTCTATTAGCTTACCCCTTTGCGGTCACTCCCACCACTGGGAATTATTACAAGCTACCTATCAGACATTGACGTAGTTCACAACTAACCGTCCAAGATTTTGCTGTTTTACGTATTGCTTTTCTTTTCTTCTGCACCCAAAAAAATCTCACTAGGGGCAGCGTCTGTATTTTTTTTATTTTTTTTTAACTTTTATCACTTCTAAGTGGTATTTGATTGGACTAATTGCACTTCTATATCTTTATATATCAATTCAATTGTGTTTTTATCTTTACTGTAAAGAACCTTAGGATACATCACTCCAAAAGCTAGTTAAAGGAGTGGGAGTGCCCAAGGCCTTATAAAGATCATATTAGTTGCCCATCCAATCAATGTGGGACTATATATCTCAACACGCCCCCTCACGCAAGAGCCCTTTAGGCTAGAAGCGTGAAAATTGTGCAGGCCCATTTTTGGTTTACTTTTTTGTGTTTTTTTTATTTTATTTTAATTCCACTTTTTAAAGCGAGGGACGGTGAGACTCTGATATCATGTAAAGAATCTTAGGATACGTCACCCCAAAAGCTAACTCAAGGGGTGAGAGTGTCCAAGGCCTTATAAAGGTCATATTAATTGTCCATATAATCAATGTGGGACTATATATCTCAACACTTACTCTCTCTCTTTTTTAACATATTACCTGTAATTTATTGTTTACTTTTGCAATCTTCCCTATAGAGTAAGACCAAGTAATGTAATTCCAAATTACAGATCAAAGGAAAAAAAAGGATCAAATTAGATAACTAAATGTACGATGAAAATAGTTAATCTAAAAAAGAATAGGTCAATCATCAAAGTTAGAAAAAGATTAAGATTTTTTTAAATGATGCAAATAAACCTTAATTTATATAATTTTACTAAAAATTTGGTCTTTAGTAGAATATAATTACTTTGCTTAATCTATATAGCTGATTTTACTTGGTGGGAAAGAGTTTGCTTTTGTTAAGTAAATACTTGAAACTTGAAAGTTGGTATTATCAATATTGGAGATTCTATATTCACAAGCATAGATATAAGAGGAAAAAACATTAAAAAGGAAGCATAGCTGCAAATATCACTCTCAAACAGGTAAAGCTGATAAACTGGAACATTTTTCCATAAGTCAGTCTATTTACTATTTAGTCCTGCAAATGGAATGAGTTGGGGTAGCATATGTCTATGTAATGAGTGGGCTATTGATCCAAACATAACGAATCGAGCAATATGAATTAGGGCCTACGCCTATGGATAAACGAAAAATAGTGAATAAATTTTTTCCCTGGTAGAGAGGCCCATAGGAATATTTAATAATGTTTATTTGTATTGTACTTCTACACTCTTTCCAACCATCCAAATTCAAACGTAAAGATTAACATTAACATGGAAAGTGCTTTGCGCAATGCATGCGTAGCATTTACCATTCTTAAAATTTAAAATAAACAAATTTAAAGTAAAATATTCACATAAAAGGATCGAAACCAAATAGAGAGCATAGAAAGCATAAACCAAAAATACAAGCTGGTCGGTGATGTGGGTTAAATTTTTGGGGTAGGTGAATCGTCCAGACATCTAAGTTGGAACACACAAATACCAAAACTTAATTTATTCTAAATTAGTGGAAAGTAATATTTGAATTAATATTCTCAATAACTTTAAATTTATTAAAATATATATTTGAATTGGGTCAGGATCATTTTACACCAGTGTAAGTTACACTCCTAATCTTATCCGTTGATCCCACTTATATCTAAAGGCTCTAATTTTTTAGCAATGTGAGCCATTGGATACAAGTGGATCAATGGTCAAGATTGGGTGTAAGACTTCTAACTCTTACACCGGTGTAAGAATATCCTGCCCCATTTGAATTAACTCTTTAGAATATTATTCAAAGATGCCGTAAAAACAAAAAACACAATCCGCGTGAGTGGCAGCTAACCCATACCTAAGTCTTGGAAAGACATATGTGGCGACACGTTCGCGTGGACGCAGCAACTTTGTGAGCGCCGCTCCCACTTTCTCGCTTTGTTCTTCTCTCCATCCACAACTTTTATATGGAAAGATGCAAAGTTTGTCTATTTTAAGCTTAAAAAAATATAAATTAAATTAATTTATAATTTCTAAATTCTAAATTCTAAATTTGTCTTAATTTATTATCTTATCAGATGAAGATATTTTCTTCGGTGTACACTAAAATTTCAATATTTTTTTCACTCATTATATATAAATAAAAGATACACCGAAAATTCATATAGTAATAAAAGATATTCTCGTAAAGATGCCTGCTCCCCAGAGTGTAACCCGTCCTGGTCACAACCTAGTCAGCATCCTCTTATAATCTCACGCTTCATTCTTCATCCAACCACGTGTGCGGCCATCCTTCTTCTCTCTCGGGTCTCGGCATCCTCATTATCAATTTATCGCACGATACATTCAAATTATAGCGTCTAAACTTTATCTGTGGGGAACCTTATATATTCAGTTCTTCTGACCCATTCTTTTCAAAATCAAATCGTTGTTGTATTATCTATTCGCTACAATTTTCTCTCTTTCTCTTTCATTCACCAAATTCATGGCGTTCAAGAAAACTCTTGCCCAACGCCTCCTCAACATCACCAAAATGTCGTCACAAACGCTCACCAATTGTCGCATTTCCTATTCCTCTGTTCGTGCGAGGACTTCTCCGAGGGCGAGCGAGCCTGACATTGCTCCCAATCCCGGAGATGATGGCCTATTCCTCAGGTTCCTTCACAAGAGACCCGTGTTTCAGCCGGAGCTCCGCTCGCCCCAGCTCGCCGGAAACCTCGTCGACAAGCTGAGGGATATGGATAATGCCCGGAACCGTATCCGGTTGGAAGGGTTGAAACCGCCGGCGGAGAAGCCTAATGGAATGAAGGAGGGAATGACGATCGAAGATGCAAGGAAATTGCTAAAGGCAGCACAGGTTGAGTTGGTGAAATCGAGGTTGATGGAGACCCGAAAGAGCTCCATAACGTTTTCGGAGTTCATTCGGATCTGCTCCGAGAATTCTTCGGATCAGGATCAAGCCGTTAGGATCGCAAAGACGCTGGATGATTCTGCGGCTGTGATTGTATTGGGAGATGTTGTGTTTCTCAGGCCCGATCAGGTTAATTTCTATTTCTCTATTTTTGTTTTTCATTTGTTCCAATCCAATCCAATCCTCCGATACTTGAATTTTTTATTTTTATAATTTTTTTGAGGGTGTATTTTTCTTGGGTTGTGTTTTAATTTCTGTGTTGCGACAGAGGGGTCATGGTCGAGAACAAAGATATGTATTTTTCATCACATACTTTCTCATTTTTCCATTTATTTGGAGACTGCCGAAAACTGATAATCTTTTTATGATTATTTCTTTTTTGTTTTTTTTTCGACAGGAAATTGAAACTTTGTTGTTTCGCAAGATCTAAAAAGTGTAAAGGATTCCACGTTTGAGATGGTGAATTAGGGCTTTAAAGGACTGCAAAAAGCCCACCAGCTTTCTCCCATCACATATGATTCATTCAATTTAATCATTCCGGGGCTCACTAATGGGAAATTTATTTTCTTTTTTTCAAAAAAAGAAAAAGAAAAAAGAAATAGCTGAGAGTTTGGTTCAGCTGGGAAATGTGCTTGCTCCTACCAACCCTGAATTAATTTTAGCATAAGATTAAATTAGTATACAATTATTACCATTAATTGAAAGCTGGGGTTATAGATTCAGTCATTAAGGACTGAAAAGCTGGGGTTCTAGTTTTGATTCCTGTCACTAGCAATCCTCTCTTTGTAAGCTTTTTTTAGATATCGTTTTATGCCATAGGTAAAGAGGTTAATAAAATACATTCTACTTAAACATTGAATACCACAATAATTTCCCGTGAGTGTGAAAATGGGGATCCTAATCTTTAAGTTCAGTTTACTTTTTTTTTTTTAATTAAAAAAAAATATGAGGAGGGTGGATGAAGGGCGATTTCGTGGTGAAAGTGGGTAGGTGATGGTCATTGGTTCTTAGGATTTTTGTGATTTTGTTCTCCTATGTTCCTTTTTGGGCACAAATGCTAAAGTTTTAATTTGTCATGAAGTTTGTGTGATTCCTAAAGGAAAAACCAAATGTAAGTTAAACAAGTTTTACCCAAATTCTCTAAAATTTGTGATACAGGTGACAAAAACAATTCAAGGTCTGCTTCCTGTACCGGGAGCCAAGGTGCACGATTCAGTGAGAAAAGAGTTTGAAGAAATGGAGAAGAAGAAATCAATCATTGACAACAGAGCTGACACCTTGGTTCGTCGTGAGCTGTGGGGAGGGTTGGGTTTCATGATGGTGCAAACAGTGGCATTCATGAGGCTCACGTTTTGGGAGCTTACATGGGATGTGATGGAACCCATATGCTTCTATTTGACCTCAATGTACTTCATGGCTGGCTACACCTTCTTCCTCAAGACCTCAAAAGAACCTTCTTTTGAAGGTTTCTACCAAGCCCGTTTCAGCTCCAAGCAGAAACGCCTTATGAAGCTTCACAATTTTGACATTGAAAGGTATAATGAGCTCAGGGCTGCTTGCTCTCCCACCACACCTCCAAAGTTTGATTCGTCCTTTGCTCTCCCGTTAGACATTTCTTCCCAACATCATTGATATGGAAGATAATTGACCTTAAAAAAAATAAAGATATGGAAGGTCCTCAGCAATGTTCATATTCACTGACTGCAGAATATAGCAAATATCTGCCCCCTAAGTATCAAATTTGGGGTTGACAGCCCCTCCATCGTTTTTAGGTTATCAGTTAAAGCCGTAGGAAAAATATCATTTAAATATCACATAATTACATGTTTACGGTGAGTTAGAATTACATGCGGCTTTGTGTAGAACGGATGCAGAGTGTACTTCCCAATTTTCCTTTATTAAATATCACATAATTACATTCATTGATGAAACTTGAAAGAAAATCAAATTTATGTCATCCTCAAGCCAATCTACAAAACCATCAAGATAGTTTCTGTTTAACAATTACACGTTTTTGTAATATATTTTTTTAGGTGTCAAAATTAAAGGCTTAGGATTTGATCTTGAATCAGGTCTAAAGACTTGGTGTGGATTTCATGTATTTTTAATTTTTTTTTATGAGGCATACTTAAAGAAAATTAAAACCTTAAATGTGGCATACTTAGTTAGTATACTTAACATTAATGTTTTTAATTAAATGTAATCATATTTTAATATTTAAAGTATTTAATAATTTTTTAATTCTTATCAAAAATTATTTTAAAACAGAGTATTGAGATATATAGTCCCACATTGGTTGTATAAGCAACTAATGTGGAGTTTATAAGGCCTTGAGCACTCTCACCCTTTGAGCTAGCTTGAGCCCTCACTGCCTCCCACTTTAAAGTGGTGGATTCCAAGGTTCTTTATACAGAGAAAATCAGTGTTTTCATAAAATTTAGTTGAAAGATTGATATGATAAATTCTATGCCAGATATATATATTTTTAATTCTTATTTCTTTTATTTATAAACATTTATTATTCAACAAATTTTATCTTATTATATTTGATAGATTAAAAATTGCAAAGTTATTTGGAGAATGAGAAAAGTTAGAATGAAAATGAAAGGATTTCGAAACGAAAATGAGAGAATTTGAGTGTTGAATGTATACGTGAAGAATGAGATGAGATTATATGATCAATTCTCATCGTTGTATAACAAAAGAAAGAGATAATTTGGGTTGATGAATATTTATAAAAGTGAAGTTGGAGATATGGTAGACACTAGACAGGATTGCATCACGTGGTGCAATCCTGAGAGTACTATTGGGGAGGGGTAGCACCGTAGCAGCACTCGATTTTATTTTATAAAACAATTTTTGAATGCATTAGGAGGGTCGCAGCATTGACCATCCCCCAGATGAAAATATGTTTGGGTTCAATTCAAACGCACAAATATTGGCTAAAAAATGCCACAATGGTAGTTGAGCCTCTATACGGGTGGTTGCCTCAATCATCTAGTCAGTGAGTCAACGAGAACAAGATACACACGAGACAAGCTATGCATTACGTTTAAAAAAAAAAATTGGAAATTCATCGGCCCAATCAGGGTCATTCTCTCTGCCTCCGCTGTAATATTATGATTTTTTTTAATATATCGACCTAATTATTAACTCTTTTAATCGGTTATAAGATTAATTGTGATCTTAATCATATGATAAATATTATAATTTTGGGGTCAATAAATTCTCACAATCATGTCAAATTCCAATATATCTATTGTAAATCATGCAAACCAAGCACCGGTAACTCTAAGAATATAATTGACAATTATATAATGGGAAATACTTTTTTCATTTGATTTTTTTATCTTCTCACTTTTTTGTGAACTTCACCCATGTTTTATGTTTGTAACATGAGAAAATATTCTCATATAAAATGAGAAAATTAATCTCCTTATATAATATTCATAGCAACGATAAGTGCATGTTTGGATCTTTTTTTTAAGTTAAAAGCTACTTATTAGTATAAGTTAGGCCAAACAGATTTTAGGAAAAGCTCTTATAATGAAAAACTCTTTTTTTATAATGAAGAAAAAAAGTGAAAGCTAAAAACTCCTAGGAGGAGCTTTTTTTTTAGCTTTTATTTGTTTTTCTTGAATTGCGTGTTTTTTTTTTTGTAAAATGAAGAGTTATATAGATAGAGAAAGAGAGATATTTTTTTTTGAAATATGTGCTTTTAAGCTAAAAATTATATATGATTACCAAACAGTTTTTAAGTTTTTTTTAAGCTCTTTTTTTTTAGCTTTACCTTATAAGTAGCTTCTAGCTTAAAAAAGAGATGATTCAAACGGCTTTAAAACTTGTTGAAAATATGGCAAGAGTAGTACGTGTTGAAATTTTTGTATAAATATTTAAGGATGAAAAACTGAATCTTCCTCTACAATTCTCACTTTCTTGGCAACTTCCATTCCACCATCTATAAATAGACATGAATGTTATATGTTTTGGATCAGAGAAGGCCTTCGACCATATATAAACATAACTTTACAAGTTTTTTCATTAAAACTTTAATAGGTTAAAGCTTATACTGATTTCATTAAACAAGTATTAAGTATTTTAAACCAATTATAAACGGGTAATTATATTAGTGGATTATGAAACATCTACGAATACATAACATTAGCTCATTTTCACAAATTATTTTTAAAAAAAGCTTGGTTACATACGAGGTGAATTTTGAAGTAAAATATTCATACCAATAACTCCTTAAAAACGCCACCTCTTGTCTAATATGATCAGAGTGCAATTTTAATGAAGTAGCACCAATGAACTAATTAGAATCTATATTGAATAAACAAAATCAGGTCAGTTGATTCAATCGGACTACAGGTAAACTGGCAAGGTGTTTGATCTAATTAACCCAAAAAAGAAAAAAAAAGTTAAAGAACTGCAACCAACCAACCCAATCGGTTCAAAACCCGTGAAAACCAACATTTAAAGAACGGTAGTCTCATTTTTTTATTTAACTAAAAATATATTTTTCAGCCAAATAAAATTTAAATATAAAGTTTACAAATAAATTAATAATATTAAATTTTTTATTAACTTAATTCTTTATAATATTATATTATTTTATTACCTAATATATTATTAAATTAGAAAAATATTTAATTACTATCAATTCCACTATAGTTTAATCATAATTATTCCACTTATAAACTGTAATACATACTTACATTATTATCATAATGAGTACTCAACAAAAATCCTAAGTTCCTACGAATATATATAGTCTTATCATATGTATAGAGACCTGCAAGTTTTTTACAAAAGTGAACATGGTCGCATCAACATAGTTTTGTGCTTTAATTGGACTTCAATTTGTTGGTATCTGCTTCCTTTCCAGCGCCTAAGGCAAAGCAGGAATGAGCAATATTGTTTGCACCCCGATCACTAACACCATTAAGATTCCTCCTATTGGAGAGATACACTCTCACATAAAAGTTAAGAAACAGCAAGAAAATAGCACCGTTCAGCACAGAATTGAAGATGCAAGCACCAATCCCATTGCACCCACCGTTGAAGAAATGCAGCAAAAGCACACCAACATGGCACACCAGACTGCACCCCGAAACCACAATTTGGCAATTCAGCACAAAAGGAAAGCACGCGCCACGCGACCTTATGGCGGTCCAGAACCTGTAACCGTACGTGACAGAGTATGCCAAAGTGGTGAAGAGAATCGCGAGGACTTGGAACGATTGCGAGAACTCCAACCACAGGAAGGACATGAAGGTGGAGATAGAATGGTGGAAGAGCTGAAAGAAATCCAGCTTACGACGTCGTAGGATAACGAAGATTGTCCTCAACATGTGAAGGAAACGCGACAAGTAAAACGCGTAGGACCAGAAGAAAACACGACCAGAGGGACGTGTACCGAGAGGGAAACATAGAAGCCACTGAAGCGGGGTCTTCGTGCGGTGCCAGAACCACCGTGTTTCTTTGATCTCGGCGGCGGCAGAGAGCAATATTCCGGCGAATGTTGTGATGGAGATGACGGACATGGCGAGGCTATGAACCGCGGGTAAGGGTCCGAGAGGGACGGGTTGGCCACGGCGAAGAAGCAAAGTCAATAATAGGTGAAGAAGAATAGATACGACGATGTAAACGGTTATGGAGGTGAAGAGGAACGACCAGGTGGAGCCCCAGCATTGGGGGTGGTTCCATCGGAACCCAACGATGGAAGGGTGCTCCGAAAGGTAGAAGTTAAGGGTCTGGATCACCGTCGAGACCTTACCCAAGGTGGCGGAGGGGGTTCCGCCGGACGGTGATATAGACATACCGGAGACTCTGCTCCTCGTCACGTTACCTCATTAACTTTTCCAATTTCTGGCATTTATTGTTTTGTTGATCGCTCAAGACTTATAGAGAGAAAGAGAGATAAGGGAAGGAAAGAGAGACCTTAAATTTGTGGCGTACATAGGACACAGCGTTGGCTTTTCTATTACGTGGAGGAATATGATTGGCCTGGACAAAAAGGAAAGGCGATTAACCGATTACCACACGCAAAGAAAATAAGGTCGAGCTGAAAATTACTCCTTTATTACACAAATTATGAAAAAACAAAAAATTAAAAATTAAAAAAAAATTCTGTTTTGGATCAATCAATAAAACAAATGTTACAGCGCCTTGTTGCCTCGTCTATTCTCAGCATTGGAATAATGTATTGTAACACAAAATCTTGTACTACGTAAATTCGTTCAAATTATTGAAATGAATATTAAATTTAATTATTACACTAAATTAAATTTCAGCTTAGTTAGGTATGATTTAAGAAATTAAGAAGTTAATGTAAATTATCTTGTACATCTACATAATAATAATAATATAAGTGTTTGAGATTGAATTATAATTATTAATTAAGTTTGTAATAATTAACTGAACTATTGTTTGAAACATTATCAACATTTACAGAAAACAGAGGTCTAAAGAGAGAGCGAATATAATTCTATATAATCGCAAATGTTACCGTTTCACTAAATAGACTGAATGATATAATGCAAACAAAAATTCCTAAATTTACGGAGATATAAAACAATATATTTTCATGCGTGCATATCTATCATATGAGTCTTCAATAATTACATATTCGATTTCACCTATAGATAGATACGAAATGCTTGCGTCAATAATACGCATGTCCATATTATTTAATTTAACGATGAGTACTAGCAATATGCTCTTTAATACATTCTTTATTATTAGATAAATTTTATGTGTGTCTCGTTACATAATTTAGGCCTATTTTCTAATTAATTATATTGAACTCATATAATATTCATTTGATAATAACGAATATGATAAAAAAAGATATATCAAAAAGTGTATTACTAATATTCTTCTTAATTTAATAATTTAATGCCTAATTTTTCTTTTTTACATATGATCGTACCAAGTAACAACTAGTGTAAGTTGTTCACCAAAAAAAAAATCAAACAAACTAGTGTAAGGAAAAGGAAGACTAATTTCCCAAAAAAGACCATACAATTTAACAGCAAATAAAAAGCGGATGCGGTGGTGGGTGGGTGAGGGTCGTACATCCACACAACGAAATTCTTATGAATGCCGTGTCATCGTGCAATCAAATGTTTTTATTTTTTTTTTTTTTGAGATATTCCAATTTATTTATCACTTCCTTACTAATACAATATTTTAGGATAGATTTCAGAATTAAGACTTTAAATTCTTCTTAAAAACAGTACTAGTGAAGATCGAACATATACCTTCACATCACTTGCTCATTTTTTTGATATTAACTGAACTATCATCGTTTGGTTTTGTTGTGCAAGCAATTGTTTAAGAATGCTATTCATGTTCATACCCAAATAATAGAATGAAATTGCTTTCCACTTTCCAATTATGTAAACTTTATTTGATTTAGTCTTTCAGAAATGATATTATCATGAAAATGATGTGTTGGCATATGAAAACACATGAATATGTTTTAGCAACTTAGCAGATAAGTAATCAACCGAAGTAACAACTATGTTGACATGCATGAAGAAACCATGATGTAGAAGGAAAAAAAAATGTGATATGATAATGTACACCTGAAGTATTATTTGGAAAAAAAAAAAAAGGACACGAATGAGCTAAAAGTAAAAAAAAAAAAGCTAATCGCGCATAATGCATGGCCTTCCAAACAACCAACGCTTAAGCACCCAAACGAAATAAGCAACAACGTTGGCAAAAAAGGAGGCACTCATGGTGCTAGCTACCACCCATGTGGTGAAACTTTAGGATTGTCCTACTGGTTCGTGAAACATGCAGCTGATACATGGTATGATTTACTTTTCTTCTATGACATGTTATTAGAAGGTAAAAGAGTGTAAAGAGAAAATATTAATTTCATTGATTGTGGTAATTAATTTGTACAATGATTGAGCTCTTATATAGAAGAGCATAAGAGAAAAGAGAGATTTAGAATATCATTAAAATACTAAAGTACCCTTATACCTAATATCTAATACTCCCCCTCAAGATGGAGAGTGAACAAAGAGAACTTCCATCTTGAACAAGAAAAATCAAGAAAATATAATAACCAAATAAAATGAGCATCAGCCAGTAAAGAAACAGTGCTGGAATGGACATCAGCTAAAATGTGCTGGGATGGACATCAGCTAAAATGTGCTGGGATGGACATCAGCAAAGGAAGGAAGGGCTGGGATGGACATCAGCAACCTAATATGAACTGCCAGGATGGACATCGGCAAAATCAACTATTCTTAAATGAAATTCAGCAACATGATCAATGGTCCTCCTGAATAAGAAGCCAAAATAAAACCAAAACAATGGCAAAAATAAACCAAATACAAGCCAAATCAAACTTGAATAACACCACAAACATATGTGGGAATAAAATCAAATTGGCCAAATACAAGCCTAATCAGAACAAATGTCAAACAATAGCAAAACCAAATAACAGCCAACAACAGAACATCAGAAAAAAAAAAACAAAAAATTACAGAATAAAAAAAAATCATGAATAAAATAAAAAATACTAAACGAGAGTGCTATGTGAGATATGGAGCTAACAGTAACACACCAGACAAGAAAAAAAATATATAGAGATGAAAAGGAAAAAAAAATGAGATGAATGATGTCTGAAAACGATCCGAAATGTGAACAAAACAACTCTGGTACGATCTAAAAAAAACGTAGATATGAAAGAAGAAGAAAAGAAAAAAAATGCCAAATCTGAAACAGAAACTACCGGAGAAAAAAATAAAAATAAAAATGCAGATCTGAAAGCAACACAGATCTGGAACGGAAACGGCCGGAGAAATGGACGATGCGGCCGGAGAATCAGACACGGTCGTAGACGATGACCGGAAAAGAAGGAGACCGGAAAAGAAGACCGGAGAAGGAGACACGGCCAGAAGAAGATAAAAAAGCAGATCTGAAATGTGAACTATCTGGAACAAAAAAAAAATGGACACAGATCTGATCTATAAGATGTGGAAGAAAATTTAGAGAAAAAGAGACACAGATCTGGAGAAAAATCAAGTAGATCTACAAAAATGAAAAATATCATGGCGTCGGAAAAGAACACCGGAGAAGATGACCGGAATAGTGATTTTTTTTTTTTTTTTTATGATCAAAAAAGGGAAACAGACATAAAAGGGAAGGAAATACGATGAAGTAAAAAAAAATCGATGGCAGATGATGATGCATGATGATCCGTAGCCGGAACTTCAGGTGAAATGGAAGTTTGAGGTTGTGATGAAGATGAAACCACACCGTGAGTGGGATCAACGTGAGGGAAATTGATGGTGGAACTATCCATCTTGACCTCAAAGGACTCCATCAATGGCTGAGTGAGAAGATAGTGAAGTGTTACTGTTAGGGTTTTGAATCACCCAATGATTGTCGAAATGGGTATAAACATAAGGGAACACGCCGAAAAAAAAAATGGAAAAAAAGAAAAGAAGATCGATGAATGAAAAGGAAAAAAAATGATTGCAGCGGAACCTCCATTCATGGAGGATAAAAAATTGCTCTTGATACCATATTAGAAGGTAAAAGAGTGTAAAGAGAAAATATTAATTTCATTGATTGTGGTAATTAATTTGTACAATGATTGAGCTCTTATATATAAGAGCATAAGAGAAAAGAGAGATCTAGAATATCATTAAAATACTAAAGTACCCTTATACCTAATATCTAATACATGTATAATAATTTATAATTAACAGGCTATGTGAAACGTGTCTCGTATATTTATACAATATTTATTTGATATTTATACAATATATTTAGCTGATCCCATTCGCGACGTGATATTATTTTTTTGCAAATAATTCAAATATACTAGCTAAAGTTAGGGCTAATTTGGTGAACACGATAAGATAAAAATTGATAGGATAGGAAGATTGAATAAGAGTGAAATGTATTAGCCTGATAAGCTCATATCCTACCATATGTTTGATGTGCACTAAATATAGAGTATGATAAATAATGTTAACCTATCCGAGATTTGAGAAGAATCGTATAGTGTCATAATATGATATACATTGACAAAAATAATCCTTTAATAGAATTTCATACGATATTTTAAAATTGATTTTTAAACTACTTTTTTTTACTTATTTACACAATATTTCTTATTTTAAATTATTAAAAAAGTTTAAATAACTTTCAATTTTTTAATATATTTCAAATTATAAATTTTTAAAAATTAAGTTTTAAATTAATTGTCAATATTAATAGCCGATGGCTAGTGATAATGGTGGGTGGTGGCAACGACAACTAATGCAGTGGGTGATCGATTGAATTGGTGGTGGTATTAGTTGTACAGACATATGGCAAAGGTTGGTGGTCATAGCGACGATAATAATCGATGACAATTGTGATGATTGATTGATGACGGTGATGTTGGTGGCTGTTGGTTGGGGGTATGCCAGTGGCTAGGCGGCAACTGAGTACAGGTGGCAAAGTAAGCGGACCACCCCGCCAAAAAATGCTTCAGCCCGCCCCGCCCACTTTTGAAAGTGGGCCAAAAAACTCAGCCATGTTGGCCCGCCTACCCAAACTTGTTTTACACTGACCCGCCCCGTCCCGCCCACCTATGCACAGACACGCGATTTTAAAAAAAAATGCGAGTCGGACACCGACACGTTTTGACACGCGATCAACATTTTAGGACACCTGATCAATGCTCTGACACGTTCCGACACACATTTTTGACACACAGTCAACTTTTTCTGACACGCTGTCAACGACACGCATCTGACACTTTTTTTAAGAACTAAATTTAATTTTATTGACTAAATATAAAAAAATAATTTATAAATCAATTTTTTTCTGTTAAGAAATTTGACATGAAAAATTAATAAGGTACGAAAAATTATTTTTGTTTATATTTATGTTATAAAATTTGAATATTTGATTGGTTATATAACTTATTATGAGCTGTTATATGTACGAAATATAAATTATATTGTATATATTAAAAATATTATTTAATAATAAAACGTGTCGAAATATAACATTTTTTAGAATTAATGTGTCGGCGTGTCGCTTTGTGTCGTGTCCCGTGTCAGTGTCGGTGCAATATATGTCTTGCTATCAACTCGTCAAAAAATGAGTCAGACTGCCACTCCACGTTTGGCGGGTGGGGCGGGCTGAGTCCGTTTTGCCGGTCATACATGTGAGGGTGGTTGGTGAAAGTAGTGGTGGGGTGGCGACACCGACACTGACAGGTGACAATTGTGTTGGCTAATTGACTGCAGTGAGATGGTGGTAGTAGTGGTGGTAATGGTAGTAGCGACAACAATGGTGGTGGCTGGTGGCGATAGTGGGTGGTAGAGGTGGCTGATTGCCTGCAACGACAACAATGGCGGTTGATCGGTGATAAGGGTTGACCCTCATGTGCCCAGTAACGTTCGTAGGGTAAGAGCATAGGACTATATTTGGAATAAGAGGATGTAACATGTGTTATCCTGTCATATTCATTCATATCCCGAGTCTCCTCTGGGGATAACTTATCTTATTATGGACATGATAAGATAAGCCAATAGGTTATCATATCTTGTTGTTTAATCAAACAATGGATATTATAAGATATGCTTTCATATCCTTATAATCCTTTCCATCAAACGACTCTTTTAAGGGGTGTTTGTTTCAGGATTTTGGTAAACAATCCTGGGGAAGTGTTGCCTGCAATCTGATTAAACCACGTTTGGTTCCCCGAATTTTTAAAATTTATCCAACTATCATTGTTTCCTATCTAAGTTGAATTATACGTGATTTCTTGAAAATTTACTGTTACAGAATGCTTTTTGGATGGTGGTATTATGTGTAAAAACCGGATAAGTTGCAAAATTGACAAAAGTGGTAATAATTGGTGACCGTAATACCCCTCCCTCGCACATGACCATAGTACGTCCAAATAGGCACAAAAGTGGAGACGGAGTCAAGAAAGCCAGATGAGCGTGGATGGCTGGTCAGGTAATTAATGTTCAAGAATGAAATTTTTTGAGTCATGTTTGTGGATCTCAACTGACAAATTCATCAATGTTCAAGGGCAATGTTTAAAAGGATAGTTTCGTAAATTGAGAATAGTTTCCCATCATTATTTTATATTCAACTAAACACACTCTTCACGAATTTCACTTAATTTTTCCGGTAAAATTTTACTCAATCAAACAACTTTTTTTACCTTTTCCTACCAAACTCAGTTTCCAACCATTTTTCTATCAATTACATTTTTCTAGTATTCAAAAAATTTCTCCTCAACCAAACGCCCCTTTAGTTATTTCTATTTACCTTGATTTTGATTTGATGTTTTCTGATAAAATTAGGGTTGTTTGAAACCCATCGAGTCTCAATAACCTTTTGTTTTGTCAGAATAAGGTAGCATGGCAGCCTGGTTCTAATAGGGGATGTTAAACAAAAATTAAAAATGAAAAAGAAAGAAAGAAGTCAATGATACCGATGACAAAATGGTAAACGAAAGGAAAAATAAATTATTATTTTCGTTGTGTTATTTTTTTGTTTTCTTTTATGGGTTCAAGTTTTCTCATGTTGTAGGATAGTAGGAGAGAAAAAAAGTAGAGAGAAGTTAAATGTGGGTCCCATCTTTTATATTAAAAAAGAAAAGAAAATTAATTGGCACGGAAAACGAATTTGTGTAGGAAAAAATGTTACTCTCATGTAGCATGAGAGTATTATTTCCCTTCTTTTATTATGTAACGTTAATAAAAACAAAAACAAAATATTACAGACGTTGTCGGTGAGACGGCTCTATTAAATATTTTGATATAATTTTCTAGGATCTGGATCCTCTAATTTGAAAATTCACATGACCATGTAATATGGAGAATCATAATCATACAAAAGTGAATCAATAGTAAAAAAAGAGGAGAGAGAAAAAATGACAAAATAGGTAGTTACGAAATCATAACCGTTGATTTACCTTTGTATGGTTATGATCTTCTCACATGACCATATCATATTTTTTTAGCACATTAGAGGATTCATTTCCAATTTTCTTATACATTGTCGGTGACAAATATGTTTATTTCTAGTCTTAATTTATTGTAGGACCACTGCGAAAATGAAAAAGACTTGCAACATATTCTAGTGGCAATTTGTGTTTTCGATTTTTGAAACTATTAAATATTATTTCGGTGATGTACGACAATACATATTAAATCTCTAAAAATCTCCTGATTGATTAAGATATATATACATACATGATCCTGTTACTAGCAAATCTAGCTAGAGACCTAATTTTTTTTATCAAATTTTGCTTCATCATAGTCATTAAGTATAGTATTACAACTAATACTTCGCCAATTAGTAAGTTGATATGCTAATCAGTTACACTTACATTTAGTTAAGTTAGCTTCAAGCATTACAAACATGTGTATAAATACCCTCATAAGTTAATTCAAAGTTTACCTTTAATTTTTCTCATAAAAATTTCTTTCAATGTGGTGTAAGGAGAGACCAATCATCGCTGCAACTCTAAATCATCATCTCAATTTCAGTGGTGGAGTGAGATGGGGTTAGATCGCCTTTTTTACTTTTCTAACTATGGCGTGTCCTGATGAGCGATGAGATCACGGTATGATGTTCATACAATGCATTATGTGTCCATAGATATACATATCTTTTTTAATCGCAATCAGATTCTTCAGACTTGTAAGACGAAAATTGGGCCTCGGGACCAAGGCTGAGGTACTAGCATTGGCATTTATTATTTATTGGAGCTGACTTCACTCTTGTGTTTATACTTTATAATGTTTAGGTGACTGACTCCATAGTGAATTATGGACGTAATGTGAATTCATGTCGGCCATTGATGACATTGCAACAAGAATAGGAAAACGATGTGATAAATTAAAAAACTAGTGGGCGCGTCATGGTCTTTTTGGAGGGAAAGAGATTAAAATTTTACATCACATTCCCTTTAAACATCATATAATCCAATACATTCTCATATAATGTCTGGTTTTAAAGTAATAATACCGATTTGCCAAGATGCTTAACGCATTGACTTGGTCTTTCATGGAGTGGAAGCAGTTCTCTCCCATCCAGCTGGCACGCAATGCCTGGTACACTACCCAAAGACTACAAATCTACAATGAAGTCTTCACTTTCAAGTTTCAACAATCCATATGCTATCTATGATGATATTAACTTTTTTTTTTTTTTGGTATCCTATGATGATATTAACTTTAATTCACTTGTGTATTTTATTATTATGACTTAAGAGTTTTGTTATATTACTTTAATTATTAATTTGTTTGAGACTTGTGAATGTTTGTTTAGACACGTTATGTTACTTTTCAACTCATTTGAAACTTATTTTGATTTTAGTTTACGACTTTATTATGATGTGTAATAAATTTCAGATTCCATATTTATGTATATATTTTAGGTGTGATGTCAATATAAAATCTGCTATATAGTTAATCCTATGTGTGATAAGATATTCACCAATCAAAATATAATTTAAAACTATAAATATATGCACATCATAAACTAAATTACTATATTAACAATACTCTTATAATTTTAGTAGGTAATTTTTATTTATTTTTTACGTTTGTTGAATCCACGGATTCAACCTAGCTATCTTAACTTAAGTTCTTAACTCACCGTAAGAAGGTTTAGTTGGGTTAAAGAAAAAATTATCTCAAACCAACCCAACCAATTATTTTTAACAGTGGGTTGGGCCTAAAATAATCCTAAACCAAACCGAACTCATAGACAAAAGTAGTGTCACCATACTTATTAGATGGATTTTGACTTCTAGGTTCACAGCTTGAAAGGAAATTTAGATAAAACTTAATATCTATCTGTATTTAAGAATAAGAAAATTATTTTATGAAAGGTACTTAAAATCTATATTTTTATTTAAAAATATATATAATTCAATTATAATAATTTTTTGACATATTTTTAATTAAAAAATAAAAAATGCAAGCCTTGATATTATTTAATAATTGCAATGTGCTAATTGCACTTCTGGGGCCTGGCCTTGATCCATATGACGCTGAGGCCTATAACTGTCCGGAAATGAAACACGGTTCGGACTAATGAGTAGCGTCGAACCACTGTTTGGTCCTTAAAGAAAACGGGCCGATTCGCACAAACACGTTTTTTTGTAGAAACAAAGAAAGAAAAGACTATCTCCAAAAATATTAAAAAGAAAAAAAAGAAAAAGAAAAGAAAAGTCGTAGGCGAGTGGCCAAGAATATGAGAAAAAACCTGGAAACTTCCACAAGGTCTTCGGTGTCAACCAAATTTAGGGCTTTGCACGGAGGATTTACTTTTCCAATTGTCTTTCCCTGCCAAATTGTCTCTCCCTCAACAGAATCGTAAGTTCTTCTCTCAGATTTCTATTTTATTATAAATTCATGTTTATTGTTTTCTACGTTGATGTTCTGCGATGATATATCCCTATCTTTTATCGTCAAATCTTTTCTTATTTTGTTTTCCCTTGCTACTTTCAATCGCTAGATTTATCCGTTGTTTATTTGTTGGTGATGATGATGCGATATTGCTTATGATGCCTTTTTTTTTTATTTGGATGTAAATTGTAGGGTTTCGAATTGGAGTTGATTTTGTTTGGTGCATCTCAGGTTAGAAAAATGGCGAGTGGTTTTGGGGAATCAATTAGAGCGTCTTCTCCGAGTCCATCTTGCTCGGGGAATAGTCCCAACGATGCTGGTGATTTCGAATGCAACATATGCTTCGATTTAGCTCAAGACCCAGTGATCACTTTGTGTGGTCATTTGTTCTGTTGGCCATGCCTTTATAGGTGGCTTCATCATCACTCCCATTCTCAAGAGTGCCCCGTTTGCAAGGCCCTCGTGCAGGAAGAGAAATTGGTTCCACTTTATGGGAGGGGTAAAACACAGACTGATCCAAGGACCAAATCATATCCTGGAATGGAGATCCCTCACCGTCCTTCGGGGCAGAGGCCCCAAACGGCGCCTCCTCCTCCTCCTCCTGAAGCCAATCCATTTGGGAATTATGGGTTTGGACTTATGGGAGGTTTCATTCCCATGGCAACTGCCAGGATTGGGAACTTCACGCTTTCCACTGCTTTTGGTGGTTTTATACCATCTCTGCTCAACATTCACTTCCACGGGTTTCAGGATGCCACTGTCTATGGGACAACGTCTGGATATCCCTTTGGGATGAATGCGTTTCATGGAGGGAACCCGCGAGTTTTTCCACACGCAACTGGTCAAGTGCAGCGGCAGGAGGACAATGTTCTGAAGAATCTGCTTTTGTTGATTGGATTTCTTGTCCTTCTTACAGTTGTTTTTGTGTGGTGAAAAATCATTTTGCATTGAGCTTGCATTACAGTGATTTTATTTTTGCCATCTTCTAAAGGGGTAATTTGTCTGTAAATATTTTAGCTGAGTTCAAGAGGGAATTGTATGCTTGAGAATGCTGCTTTTGGCTCTTTATCAACTGTACTATAAGAATCTGCAGTGAACTTGAATGCTGTCTGTTTGGCTCTTTATCATTTACCAGTTTCTTTGCTGTCTTGTAATAACCTCTCTTTCTCTGTGTTCCTATACTTGATCTTAAAATCATCGGTTGTCAGGCTCACAAAAATAGCTGATTTCAAGTGTGTATGATTGGTAGCTTAACCGTGCTGTTTCGGGTTCATTAGCAGCACAAAAGTTTTGGTATGTAGGACCGTTTGTGTCTCATTTTTTGGAGAGTTATTGTGATTGATAGCTGCAAATTAGCAATGTTTTTTGTTTCCGTTCTTCACCGCAAATTGGAGGGTGCGGTTTCAGAAAAATTGAAGCTCTAGGATGTCAAAAAGGTTCTTGATGGAGGTATATTACTATATTTACATGTTTTCTAGGTCTAATTTGGATTCCACTGAGACACACTGAAACATCTAGTGTGATGTAGCTAGCTTTACCCTTAGAATATTTACAGATCAATATAAATAGAAGCTTTAATGCTGGAGTCAATTCCTTTATCTCTTTCCGCTTCTTTATGGAGATAATCTGCTTTGAATTTGAGTAATGACAACAAAATTCTTATCACATATTTTCTGTTATTCTATTGGTATATTTGTGTAAGCTTTCACTCTTGGAAGCCTAGATAGATGTAAGTAACTAAGTAAGGATTATGACATGAAGGGCATTGTTACAATAAATTTATGGGTGTGGTAGTCAGGCTGAATGTTGATAATTTTACAATTAATATTTGAAAGTCTATTAACTATAGTTAGATTCTAATAATTAATGATAGCTTACTCTATATCCCATATTTTGGGGAGAAAAAACTTATGGATTATAGAATAATACCCACATCTGAAATGTGAGTGCTTAGAAGTCCTTTAAAACGTATGCGATTGTCTAGAATTCAAACTTTTTGAGTTCAGTTTTCAAGTTACTAATAACGACTAGTATATGAGGTTCTTCAAATTGTTGCTCAATCTGTCGCCTATGAGTGGAAGACAGTCTGCTATTCTAATTTAGTTTATGGTATTTTTTGTTTGTTTTCTCAGTAGAATACAGATCAGATTGGTATTCTCTGTAGTTTTTTAAAGTCAACCTAGAAAATAGTTGTTTTATAAGACAAAAGAATTGTGAATAAATAGGTTTGAATATGGAGGCGTGATATTTGAATGTTTAAGATGCATTAAAAATAAAATAAAATATCAGTTGTGAATATTCAAATATTATGATAATATGTTTATTTTCCGTTAATAGTATTAAACTGAATTAGATAAAGGAACGAATTTATTAAAAATTTAAACAGACTAAATTGATAAAGTTACTCCTCCATACGAACTTAGTTAATAATGAATGTATTTTAAAATACTAAGAGCTCGTTTGTATTGGCTTTTTAAGAAAGTATTTTTTATCACTTCCTTATTTTAAAAGTACTTTATATAAAAGTTACAGCTATTTAGATTTTTAAAAAAAATATTTGACTTTTGACTTCTGTTTTTTTTAAAAGTTAAAATTTTTAGCTTCCGAAAAAGAAAGTTTTTGACATTTTTTATGACTTCTGTTTTTTTTAAAGCAGGCATTCAAACAAATTTTTTTCGAGAAGTGGTTTTTTTTCCTAAAAAAAAGCAGTTTTTTTAAAAAAAAAATGTCCATCCAAACGGGCTCTATAGGAAATTGAATTCCTTTTTAAATAAAAAAAAAGTGTAGATGTGTAGTGGTGCAGGTAACATTTGATTGGCCATTACTTTTAGCTGCCTTCTCATAGTCATTTCTCAACAAAATATGTACATTTTTCGTATGCTTTATTTTTCACTATTCAATGTTACGGAGGGCCGGCTACCCGGGGGTGGTTGTGAGACAGATGCGAGGTGGATTTATTAATTTCTAGAATAAGTGTATGCTCGCATTTGTTTAATTTATTGGGAAAGTTTATATTTTAAACTTTTTTTAATTGGGTGATAAATTATTTCAAATACTGGAAAAGATAATCTAAATATATATATATTGCACAGAAACTTTGAGAAAGAAAAATTGACTATAGAAGGGTGTGTTTGAATTAATTATGAAAAATTATTCCAATAAATATTTATATGTAAACAATTTTTCTATAATTAATTACAATAAACCAATTTTATATTTGAATAAGTTAAATGGAAAATGATTTTAAAATAATATTTTTTAAAAAAATATATTAGAAATTTTCTTTTTGTATAATAAATTACTAAAAGGTGTATACAATCACAATGGTTATAATCAATATGCTCAAAAGAAATCTCGTAAAAATAATACCTTCTTAGTATAAGATAAATTATACATTGATCATAATCAATTTAACCTTTTTTTTATCACTGCAGTAAACATTTTTTTTTTATAATTGGAGAAAAAAAAATTAATGTGCACTAAATCTATAGACATCAAACTATATTTAAAAAGAGGAAGAAGTCATTGACCTGATTCAAGGTTTAAATTATCTAATGGTTTTAAATTCGAAGTCATGTGAGGTTTCTTTGAACTTGCTGATAGATCGGGCCGAAAGATGCAGACACGAAACATGGGGGGAGGGGGAAAATTCGAAATGTTCTGGTAGGAATCAACTTGAAGGCAGATGGACAAGAAAGTCAATATTATTTATTAGGAACTTCGTCCAATTTATATCTCAATATACCAAACAAATGGTATTGGTCTTCCAGAGAGCTCCATAGAGTCAAGTTAAGTGTAAATACCAGGGAACTCCCTAAATTATTCCCGTCCTTTGCCATGTGAATTAGGATTTTGTAATTTTTATAAATTTTGTATTTTTTTTATATGTATGTAAAAAATGAGTAACTTTTAAATTAACTAACAAAGAGCAAATAAATTACAAATTTTATATTAAAAATTACATATTTGTATAAAGAGTTATGGTATTTATATTAAAAATTGAAAATTGATAAAATAATGTTATATCATCGAATTACGGAAGTGAACTCATGAAATCATTTAAAAATAAAAATGAAAAAGAACAAAATAATGGAAAATTAATTAAGCCTGGCGTCTTTTTTTAATTTGCGCATTAAGTCAAAATTAGACAGTAGAAGAATAGAAAGCGAATCATCCCAGCAACTCTTCGCCGTTGGAGAAATTAAACTCAGACGCTATACAAACATGCAGAGCAGCAGATAACGCGTTGTACGTATAATAAATACGAAAGTGCTTCAGAAAAAGGACAACTCAACATATAAAGGAGAGCTATGAATTATTGCACGACAAAGCAGCAAGGAAACAGGTCCAATATAGCGGCTCATAGGCAACTAATCAGCTATATATATCATAAGTATTAGAGAAATGAAAATAAACGGAAATAAATAGGTGAGCATATTAGGTAGTTTGTGTCGGTGATACATATTGAAAAACAGATACAAGTAAGCACATGCAATTTTTTTTAAAATAATTGTCTTAATATATCGCATAATAATGTTTATGAAGTTATTTCTTTTTTAAGATCGAGCACGACATATCCTTACATGTTTGATTCATTTCGTCGTTTATCTGCAACGGCAAGATTAGTTATGTGGTCTCTCCTAAAAAATTGTTTAACTGGAATTCAAACTTGTAGTTTTGCATATTAGGGGTCGAAAGTTGTTTATTACCTAAATTTATTCTGCACGAGAAGAATACATTTTGATAAACAAAAAGACGAAAATAAGAATTAGTGCCAGACTTTCAAGAGCAACTTTTTCTGTTTGTCTTATAACCTCGTTCATCATTGTGGTAAGTGGTTTAAAATAAAAGGACTTATATATGGTCCACATGAGGTTGACTTTCTCCTGTATGTGCTAAAACCTGTCGTATAATAACAAGCGAAAAATAGTTATAAAGCCAATATAAACCTCAAATCCGAAGCCAACCTAATAATTGGGAAAGGATTTGTCAGGGGTAGCACATGCTGCCATTGTTCCGAATAAGTTGCATCCATCAAACTTGAAAACATGGTGATAATAGAGCTACGTTATCGGTGTTGCTCTTAGAAGCATATTGATGAAACGGCATGTGAGCTACACATGCTACTAAATGATACATTTAGTTAGAATTTGAATCGTAATGTAGTGCTTTAAATGCAACTTGGAAGTCAGTTGTTGTATCTGATCCAGAAATGTAATCCCAGGGTTTTTAATCAATAATCTCGAATTTTAATATGGCTGCTTTGTCCTCCATTACTGTTTTTATTTTTCCTTTTAAGATGTTAAAATTATGATTTGAGAAAAAGTTATAAAAATCAAGTTTGGGTTTTTCATATGAAAATCCAAACATGATGTGAAAACCCAAACATGTTATTTCATCAATCATTACTCGAAAAAAATTAAGTATATATGCATAATCCTCTAAGAAATCACCTGGTACAAGTTTCAGTAAAATTTCACGTATAGATTTTTTGGGGGTTAAAAACTGTTGATTTTAAATTTAGAGTGCTTAGAATAACAAACTAATTTTAATAAATTAAATAAAGCTATTATATAGTTTATATTTTGGGTTGGGCGGCACTTTTCACGTTGTGAATACTGAACAGAGAGCAGCCAGATAAGAAACATAGGATAATGTTTTGATGCTTCTCTAGGTGAGTTTGTGCATTATCCATCCTTCAAGTCCAATAAATTTTCGTGTAAGGGGGCGTATTGAGATATATAAAACCATCGATATAACCTCACCCAACAGCTTAAGTTTTTGGATTAAAGTAATTCTTTACAGATGCGCTGATTAGAAAACAAAAATGTTAAATGTACTTGTAGATTTAAAAAAAAAGTAAACAATTAAAGTGGTAGAGTTAGTCTTTTGAGCGGTACTTCGAGGATAATATTGTTCGAGAAGGTTGTGTGAGAATGTCTTTAAATTATCCATTAAAAAAGTGTTAATTAAGAATTAGGTTATATATAAGCCAATTATTTGTATTGAAATGTTAAATATATTTTACAAACTTGGCACTCGGACAACTGAAACACCAAGTTGAAAGGATTTTATTCTGTATATATTATTCAACTTAGGCTCAATAAGTATTATGTTTGATAATTAAGGGGAAAATCTTAAATCCCTTTGGACTTTTGACAGCCACCATATATATAAAAAGGGTCTTCACCATCATTCGTTAATAAGCATAAGGTAACAATCCTAACTTACATAATATGACTATGACAGTTACTTGAGTATATATGAGTGTCTTGTAAGTCAGCGGTGGACCTAGGATTTTTTTTTTATGTTTGCATTCTTAGTTATGAAAAAGTTATTCATACATTCAGTTAGTCATGATATTCATAATTAGGAAAGTTACTCATACATTCGGTTAGCTATGATATTCTTGGGTGGAAGAGATGATAAAGAAACTTTGTGCTTAGCCAAACGAGCAATGAGGGACCCCAAGATCAAGTTGGTTGTGTACCACCTTTCTCCTAAAGAATACAATATAGACTTGGAGTGCATAAGAGATAATGAGGTGTTAGAAGGTATTAAGAAATCAGAGTATGGCTTGGAAAGTGTGAGTTATAGAAGAGTGACAGTAAATGATATACCAGAGACATCTAATATTCTACACAATATAGTAAATGAACATGACTTTTTTATAGTTGGAAGAAGGCATGACTTTTCCCTCAACTTTATGTCTGCAAGTGCAAACAATGGCACTCACGTGGGTCCGCCATTGTTGCAAGTGTACAATTCCCTCATTTCGCTGGAGCACAAGGAGGAAAATCTTGCCGCTGTCACCACCAGATCTACTCCAAAGAAGCTCAAGCACAACCACACATTATGATCAAGTACACATATTGTTCAATTTTAGTTACTGTTAATTTAAATTTAGTGTGCTCAAAAGAGCAAACCAAATTGAATGAATTAAATAAGGGGAAAATGTGTATTATTTTAAAGGATGTAAAGTTGTGTCATTTTAAATGAGAGAAAGAGATGGATTATGGAGAGAGTGGACAAATAAAATAGAGATGTGGGTTCCATCTCTTTGTGAGAATGAAATGACACAAGTTGTATCATTTGAAAGAACAAACATTTTTTTCAATAAATAAAACTATTATATAATTTATATTTGGGTTGGCTGGCCCTTTTCACGTTGTGAATACGGAACAGAGAGCACAGTTAAGAAACTTAGGAGTTAGGACAACGTTTTGATGCATTAGTAAGAAAACAAGAATGTTAAATGTACTTTTAGTTTAAAAAAGTAAAGTGTTAATTAAGAATTAGGCTATGCGTCAATTATTTGTATTAAAACGGATAATTGTTTAGGCCGTATTACTACTAAGTTATGTTTATATTTTATTCTGTTCTATATAAACCAGCTAATATTTGTCCCTTATCTTTAATGAAGCCACGACGTCTACCTGATAATTTAATTTTCTGAAAGATTCTCTTTGATAGTTTTCTAAGATAATGCACTCCTGAAGAAAAATAACATAAATTGGAGAAAATTTATGAAGATGATTTCAAGTCATGGATTGGTGATGGAAGCAGAAGAACGAAAGGATCAATATAGGTCACGATTGAGAACATGTCACTGTGGGGTCACTACCCTACCATATCTCTAGCTTGGACGTCCCTTTCCCTTTGAATTTAAACAACACCACAACACCTTTTTTCACCTCTCTTGTTTATTATTATTATTATTTCAGATGATATCTCTTGTTTAGGTGGCACCATTTTGGGTCCCCTCCTTCACGCAACATGGTTAGTCTTTGCAACTATTTTAGAGCCGGCCAATTAAATAAAGAAGTTGTCTTGGCTAAGTTTGTGAGCACAAATTTTGGGTAACTGAAGTCATCTGTGCGCTTGCAATAAATGAGTCCTTTAATTGTGTATCCCAGTTCCCCAATCAAAAGGGATTCTTTGGGATAGAACAAGATGGCACGCTTTGGCAAAAAAATTATCAAAATGTCACGTGAACACTAAAAATTTTTAAACTGTCACGCAGCATAGTGTAGCGAATTATGTATGCAAGTAATTCGCTACAAAGTGTAGCGAAATATGCCACGTCAGAATGCACAGAACCAAAAAGTGCCATGTGTCAGAATTGTTGAAATTTGCTACATAGGGTAGCGAATTTCAACAATTTTGACACATGACACTTTTTGGTTCTGACGTGGCATATTTTGCTACACTGTGTAGCGAATTACTGGCATGCATAATTCGCTACACTGTGTAGCGAATTATGTCGCGTGACAGTTTGGCAAAATTTACTATTAGCATGACAGTCGGGTAATTTTTTTGTCCAAACATGACAAAATGGTAGTGTCCCGGATTCTTTTCTTTTAACTCCTCAATCTTGACATTTACTTGAGTAATGCTACTCTTGTACAGTTTTTAACAGATATATGCTTACCGAAGGTAACTCGAGATCCTGGTTAATTTATTTAATGATTGGTAGGAAATAGTTATGATTCTAACTTAATCAATTGATTTTATCTGTGATTTTCGTGGTTATATATACATATAGCAATCGTAAAGTGATTTTCCTGCCAAAAATTGTTGGTTTGATATGCAAGTTATTATTATTAGTAAGTTAATATGCAAGTTATTTGTAAACACATTGCTGGAGCTTTCCGCATACATAAAATGGCTCAACAAATTAAATAAAGGGAATGGGGTTAAAAGGCTAAAGAGAGAAAAATATTCATATTAATAACAATATCAATATATCATGGAAGTGCAAATCAGTCCAATTTTTTTACTCGGATATACAAACTTTAGGGTTTGTGTGTTGTGTTTTTTTTTTTTTAAACTGTTTTGTAGGATAATTATGAAAATATATATATATATATATTTTTGTTTTAAAAGTTAAAAATCAAACAAAAAACAAAAATAACCCAGACATCTCTAAATTTGATTTTAAAAATAAAAAAAAAGTTACACTTTTTAATTTTTTTTTTTATAAAACAGTTTTTACCAAACAATTTTTTTTACTTTTTTATTTTTAAAAATAAAAAACTGGTTTATAAAACAGATATCAAACAAGCCCTTAATTTTTGTGTTTTTACTTTTAAGGTTTAGTACGGAGAAACTTCAATTGTCATTATTATCCTCGTAACATGTATAAGAAAATTTGAAAAGAAACGATGAAAAGTTATTTACCAATAAAAAAAAAAAAAGGATGAAAAGAAAATGGGGAACCAATCAAATAATAATAAAATGCCGTATATGGCATAATTTTTTGAAACTTGATGTGATAAAAGGTCATTAAAGTTATTATTATATTTGATTAAAGTCAAGCATGTACCGTATACAAGTACCACGGGCAGAACATAAATAATTAACAGCTCATAATATTGGCATCCAGAAAAAAGACGAACATGCTGTAAAAATTAATTCCGCATGGATCTTATGCTGAATGAGAAATACTGAAAATCATTGACTACACATAGAAGCAAGCTGTTTTTGAACCAAGTTTGGTTGAAAGCCACGCAGAGGAGGGAAATTTCATCGGTACTATGCTCGGTGGAATTTTTTTTAATATTTTAACCTATATTTTTTTTTGTATAATTTCTTGTAAGTTTCAAAAAAAATTCCCTTTTAGTATTGATATACTCCTTTTGATTGGAAAGGGAAATTGTTTTTCCATTTTAAACCATATTTTTTTATTTAATTCTTTATAAATTCTAAAATATTTCCTATTTTAGCATGGATAGCGGAGATGGCACAAGTAACCTCGCATTCGCACACCACCATCACCATCTGCTGATTCCTCAACATCCTTAAATGGTTTTAGATCAAACATTGGATCCATCTTGTATTTAATTATCACATATAAATCTAAACCTCTCTTTAGTCTTTTACTCTTTACCCATAGAGAGAGGCCATGGCATCCATGGCCACTAAACTCAACTATTCCTTCACCATCCTTTTTTTGTGTCTCTTCGTTCTCCATTCTACACAAGCCAAAGCCACTGCTCAACGCTTCAAACAAGCCCCAAAATTCTACAACTCCCGAAACTGTCCCACCATTAGCCTCAAACAAACCGACACGTGCTCCGACGATGCAGTGCACGTGGCCATGACACTCGACATCACTTACCTTCGCGGTTCCATGGCCGCCATCCTCTCCGTTCTCCAACACTCCTCGTGTCCGGAGAACATCATCTTCCATTTCGTCACCGCCGCCTCCAAAGCCTCCTCCTCCGCCGTCCTCAACCGCACTCTCTCCACCTCCTTTCCTTATCTCAAATTCCAAATCTACCCCTTCGACGACGCCTCCGTCGCCGGCCTCATCTCCACCTCCATCCGCTCCGCCTTGGACTGCCCTCTCAACTACGCCCGCAACTACATGGCCAACCTCCTTCCCTCATGTGTCCGCAAGATCGTTTACCTCGACTCAGACCTCGTACTCGTCGACGACATTGCCAAGCTCGCCGCCACGCCTCTCGGCAACGATTCCGTCCTCGCCGCGCCGGAATACTGCAACGCCAACTTCAGCGCATACTTCACGCCAACGTTCTGGTCGAACCCCTCTCTGTCGCTCACCTTCGCGGCCCGCAGGCCCTGCTACTTCAACACCGGCGTCATGGTAATCGACCTGGAACGGTGGCGGGCCGGGGACTACACCACCAAGATCGAGGAGTGGATGGAGCTCCAGAAGAGAATGCGGATCTATGAGCTCGGGTCGTTGCCGCCGTTCCTGTTAGTTTTTGCCGGAAACATAGGCCCGGTGGATCACGGGTGGAACCAGCACGGGCTCGGCGGCGATAACTTCCGCGGGCTTTGCAGGGATTTACACGCGGGCCCAGTGAGCCTGCTGCATTGGAGTGGGAAGGGTAAGCCGTGGGCCAGGCTCGACGCCAACCGTCCTTGCCCCTTGGATGCCTTATGGGCTCCCTATGATCTTCTCGAGACACCTTTCGCTCTCGAAGCCTAGCCCGCCTCATAGTTCACAATTTTATTTTATTTTCTTTCCATAAATAAACTCAATTATATCCTCTCTTTCTTTTCTTTTTTCCTTTTTCATTGCCGAAAGAGATTTTGATTTAGCACTTTTGTATATAGCTTGTCGTTTGAGAGTTGGCGATGAGTCACCACTGTCGTTTAATTTTACATTGTACAGTCAGGTACACATATGGTGGTACTTTTTTTTTTTTTTCCTGCCTTTCTTTTGATGTAGTGGATGACTGTAACAGGTTATATAACTACTGACAATGAATCTAATAGCAAATATTTTCTTAATAAATGATTTCCATGGTTTGCGAATGGCCTTTTTTGCCCCCCTACTTGTGCTCATTTTGTCATTTCTGTTCCTCTGTACATACCCATAAGGCGAGGTCGCTATTTTTGCTGAAGGTATATATATAGGAAATAGGATAATTCAAAAATTATATTCGACTCATCCTTACGCGTGAAATCGGAGTGAACAGTTATGAAACTTGTCAATCGACTTATAAGGTGGAATAGTAGTTACCTGTAGGAGAGAAAGAAAGGGAGGGGGGAGTATGTTGTGTCGGTGACCGTTTGTCTTAGCCAGGGTCTGAATAGGAACATCAATATTTATCCGGGAGTAGATCCTGATTCAAATTTTATGAAAATAGTTCCATGTGAAAAAAAAATATATGATTATATGAAAAGATTATAATTATATAAAGATAAATGAAAGATTATGATTTTGTAATTATCTATTTTAATAATATTTTTATTATCATTCGTCTACTTTTATATGATTATAACTTGCGTACGATCATATCATATCTTTTTTTAGGAAAATCTTGATCCAAATTTCATAGAGGAAATATCTTTTTCGGTCCTTAACAAATTTTATGATACTCGTTTTAGTCCCTAGAAAATAAAAAAGCTATTTGTAGTCCCTAAGAAATTCAAAGTGAACCTATTTTAGTCCTTTTGAGGGACTATGTGGGTCTTTTTTGAATTTGTGAGAGATTACGATTTTAACTAAATGAGTCAATTTTAAATTTTTTAGGAACCATGAATTGTCTTTTAATTTGCTAGTGTTCTGCCGTGGGCAGAGGTGTCCGACCGTAAGTCGATTGTTTGACGTTGAATCTATAGCTTTTTTCTAGATACCTATGGATTAGGTATCTTGAAGACAACAAATCACTACACACAGTACGATGGCCTTAGGCTGAAGGGGTGCGTGTGTGCGCTGTCGTGTTTTAAAGAAATAGAGTTCGAGAGATCAGCCATACCTATGATCTTTAGTCTCTATTTATAGAGCTTACCTTTAAATTTGTGTAGGTTGGGTTCCTTACTGTCATGGGCCTTTCCATGGTCTATAACAACTAAAAACTCTAAAATGAATATCTTAAAATTTATTAAGGACCAAAAATATTATTTACTCAATTTTATATGATCATGTTAAAATTTCACACGAGATCGTCATTCTCGTGTAGATATAGTATTTGCATATTTTCTAGTCCAAGTCAATCACTCGTTTTCTCTCTATTCGCGTCTCTTGTCTGGGGAAAGCCGAACATTACTTTAGACCACATTGATGATGATTGTTATATTTTAAAATTTTTTTTTTGGAATCGAAATTTTTGAAATGGGAATCAACTTCTATTCTTCGTAATTGAGAGACACACCGATTGTTTTGTTAATTATGAATAAAACGCACTAGAATAAACACTCTCCCCCCTTCTCCAACCAAAAAAGAAAGAGAAAGATTTTACCAAAAAAAAAAGGAAAGAAAGAAAGATCATACTTTAATTTAAAACTCTTTAATTAACTATATAACAAATGAATTTGTGACATATAACACAAATTTTATAACTTTTTGTTTTATATGTATTTGCAATTATTCTCTTTCTTCCTTATTTTTTTTTTCTCTACCTCACGGCCTCGATCACCTATCTCATTTCTTTTATGACTTTCGCATCCATAATTCAAATATAATTCAAAATGTGTAATTTATCTTACATACAAAATAAAGATTTCTTTGTACAAAAAAAAAAAGATTTCTTTTTAAAGTTATAAAATTAATTAAAAAGTTACCGCTCACAAAAGAATTGCAATATTTCTGTTAAAACATAAAAGAAAATAGGGTTCGCTTTTTCTACAGTCAAGGTAGATAACTTATCTATAGTGAGCCCAAAACGACGTCGTTTTGAAGCGGAAATCAAGGTATTTTTGTAATAATAATTTATTTCAAGGTTATAATAGTCTTTTTTATTATAATTTTTTAATTTTTCAATTCAAAATGACGTCGTTTTGGAAATGAATGTAGATAACTTATCTACATTCACTTTAGAAACATTAAAGGCAAGAAAATAATATGATTTTGTTTTGGGAAATCATTATCTCCTTCCACATGAGATAAGAACTTTTTCCTACACAAATTCGTTTTCCGTGCCAATTAATTTTTCTTTTCTTTTTTAATTTAAAATGTGGGACCCACATTTAACTTATCTCTACTTTTTTTCTCTCCTACTATCCTACAACATAATAAAATATGCACCCTTTTGTTTTTTAATTTTTGAGAGAATATACAAGTAAACACCGTTAACTCCCTCTAAACTTGTTTCTTACAAAACCTTCAGTCCCGTAATTATAGAGTGAAAACGGTGATGCATCCTCCTTTCAGTTCTGGAATGTCCAAGTCCCATTGCTGATTCGTACATGAGTGAATGAAGGTGAGAAAATGGAAGCAAAAGTCAAGCTTTGCTGCCACTATGTTATAAATGAAAAACAAAAGAGTACAATGTTGAAGGCAGATATACGAAGGAATCAATGCCAGAATGTACGTAAACATTAATTCGTCATTACAAAGACTCCCGAGCGTCCAACCCCCTCCTCATGTGGTTATTTTGCTGCAGAGCGTGAAAAAATAAGCTACCTAGGGCCAAGGTAAATAATAAAACATATTCTTTACCAATAATAATAATAATAATAATAATAGTAAAACATATTTGTTGACTAATTATCACAGGTATTTAAAACATAAAGAATATTTAGTACTTGATTTTTTAAGTAATTGTAAATATTTAATATTTAATCTTTAATCAAAAGTTTTAAGATATTCATTAGCAAAACTTAATAAAAAGCAAAGCTTGCTGTATCTATGTATACATTCTCCTATCCTGCCTAGAAAGTAATGCCACACCGTGATGCTTCGGAGATTCAGTTATTAATGATATTGATTCTTGATGCAGTAGTAATAACTAATAGCAAATGTGACGCACGGTATTAAAGCTGTCAAAACTCAAAACTATAGGCACATAGCTGAAATGCACTCACTGCATATGCATTCATTGTACACGGACGCACACAGAGACATAAACTTGCAGAAAATTTACAGTACAAGTTATAAAACTAGATCTAAAATTTTTTTCACACGAGACGTGACATGAAGCTGTCATATGATCCCTGATCTATTGGATTATTTTAAATTACGTTGTTATTTTAATTATCCGGTGAAATAAGTATTTGTGGGGTTGTTTTAAATTAAAAGAGGACCGACCATTTGATATATAATTAAGCTTTCTTAAAGTCAATCACAATACCTGATTCATATCTAGTTTAATTTATAATATTACTTTGAAGGCGAATTCCGAAGCAACCATGGAAATTAGAGTAGAAGTTTTAAGTATTTTATTTGTGCGAGATCCTTGACGATGAATTGCCATCATAGTTTTGAGCAGTGGCCGAGCCATTTAGTGGCAGGGTAAGGTCTTGGCCCGGATTAAAATTAAAAAATTAATCACGATTTTAACATAATTGAATAATTGTAATTAAATTTTTGGATAAAATTTAATATTAAGTTCAATCTAAATTTTTGTTCGCCCTAATTCAAGAATGGGCTATCTCTACCTCTGGTTTTAAGAGAACTGCATCCTATAATAGGTCAAATAATCCTTGAATCGGGTTAGTTGAATAATTAATAAATTAGTGGATATATAAAAATAAAATAAGATTGACACATGAAAAATTGCTATGGAATGGAGTCAGCGGACAACAATTAGGCATTCTTTAGTTTTAGTCAACTTATGTAGCAAAATTTCTAGGCCATATAAAGTGTAAACAGGGTTGTAGAACGTGGGGCACGCGGATTACTATGGTTTTGTTAATTAAATATAAAAGTAATTGTATATATATATATATATATATATACACATGAGGTAATTTGACACCTCATCTGAGAACCGTTAGATCAAAAAAGATCAACGGTGTCACATGCTTACAAATCAGAGCCGTTGATCTTTTTTGATCTAATGGCTCTCAGATAAGGTGTCAAATTTTAAATTTGACACTGATGTCAAATGATCCTACATATATATATATATATATATATATATATATATATATGAGGTAGGATCATTTGACACCTCATCTAATAGCCATCAGATCAAAAAAGATCAATGGTGTCACATGCTTGCAAATCAGAGTCGTTGTTCTTTTTTGATTTGACGGCTCTTAGATGAGGTGTCAAATTTAAAATTTGACATTGGTGTCAAAGGATCCTATCTCTATATATATATATATATATATATATATATATATATATGTGAGAAAAGTTATATTTACAAACTACACTAAGTATGACCAGTCATACTTCAATCAATAGTTTATGATCGATCATACTTAGTGTAACTTGTAAAAAATATTTGTAAACGAATCATTTTCATATATATATATATATATATATATATATACTCAAAGAGGTAAGATCCTTTGACACCGGTGTCAAATTTAAAGTTTGACACCTCATCTGAGAGCCGTTAGACCAAAAAAGATCAACGACTCTGATTTGTAAGCATGTGACACCATTGATCTTTTTTTATCTAACGGCTCTCAAATAAGGTGTCAAACTTCAAATTTGACACCGGTGTCAAACTTCAAATTTGACACCGGTGTCAAAAGATCTGCCTCATATTCAAATTATAGTATTGCTTGAATAGTTGAATGAGTGTTGGAAAGGATGGGTGCG